ATATATGTTCTACAAAATACCATGTAGATCTATATAATATATTATAAATACTACGGAGCGTTAATTTCTTAAAATTTATTTCTGATAACTTTTCTCTTTTTTCGAAACATTTTTTAATTATCTTCAAAAAACAGGTATTTTTTTTAATGGAAACTTTTATTAAATGATGAATTTGTGTTTTTTTCAATTATTTATCGGAACAAAAGAAAAAATTTGATAAAAAAGAAAAAATTATTGTTTTCAAAAGAAAAAAGGAAAATCAAATTTTTTTTTTAGTTTTTCGGGTGCTCCAAAACTTTTTTTTAAGATTACTTAAAAAAAAAACTATGAATGAAAAATGCGACTTTGAAAATTGCACTTGAATGCTTAAGTTTGTTTTGTACCTAAGAGTTGATACAATTTTTTCTATTTTAAATTCAAAAATTTTTTTAAATTGATTTTTTCAATTATTTGATTATTATTATTATTATGGGTTAAAATTTATAAAAAATTGTTTTTGTGAATCATTCTCGGAGGGTAAAAAATTAAATTAAAAAAAAAAACATCAAACGATAAAATATGTGTAATTTTGTTAATTTTAACTTAAAATTAGGTTTTGTAGATTAATTTTGTATAAATATAAAAACTGGCACTTTCAAAACCTGTGCAATTTCAAGGAAAAATCGACTTAATGTCCAAGCATTTTATCATTTATAATAACAAAAAGAAAATCTGTTTTGTATAGAACAATATTAAATATATATAAATATAGTTATATAATTATTATATTCAATGATATTTTGAACATATATCTGTACAAGCGAGCGCTCCCAGAAAATCAGGCTGTGGGATGAAAAACTAATAAAAAGTGTCTCATTTTCTAGAAGCGATCATTTGTGCAGTCCGCAGAAGCGTTTCGAGAATTTTCCGTTTTAGACATTGTGTAATCGTATTTCTCATTTCCACCAGTCATAATAATAATAATAAATCAAAAACTATTTCCAAATGGAAAAAAAAAAATTTCAGAATGTCTAGACAATTTTTTTTCTTTTTTCAAAATTCTCTTTAGAACAGATTTGAACATACAAAAGTTCTCCCAGAATAAACGAGGATATGGAAAAAAAATTTCTTTTCATTATATTCAGTTAGGGACGTTTATCTGAACATTGAGTTTTCTTAGATTTTTGTAAAAATTTAGTTTATTAATCTAGATCACTGATGTAGTTCATGATCTGTGGCGCATCAATTTCCCATAAAAATCATAAATCAGAATTTTTTTCAAAGTATTTTATTAGAAATAATTATAATTTAGACGAATTTTCAATTTTCGAATTAAAAATTTGACAGATTTTCTTCTTATACGAAATTTTACATAACAAAAATTTTTTAGCTACAGAATTTTTGTTTGGTAGAATTTTTTATTTTATTGTCATTTAATTTACATGACTTTATATTTAAGAGAATTTTAATTTAACAAATTTCTCGTTCAATCGAATTTTTAAATAACAGAAATTCCAATTCACCAAATTTTAAATTGATAGAATTTTTAAGACGCCGAATTTTTATTTGTCCGAAATTAAAAATGACTGTACAAACAAGCGTCAAGAATATTTTGGTACAATTTTCAAAATTGACTAATCACAAGTTTCTTGATAATTTCTGATTGGTGAATTTTAAAAATCGCGCCGAAATATTTTAGTCGTTTGTTTCTTCGGACATTTGTAATTTCGGTCAAATAAAATTTCGGTGTTTTAAGAATTCTGTCAAATAATAAAGAAAAATAATTTGTGCCAATAAAAAGTTGGACAAATGAAAATTCGGTGAATTGAAAAATGTGTCAATTAAAAAATTCGAATCAGAAAAATTCTATTGAATGAGAATTATTTTATATTAAAATTCGGTTAAAGTAGAATTCTTTTTAAATAAAAAGTTGGATAAAAAGAAATTTTGTTAATTAAAAATTCGTTAAAAAAAATCCAGTCAGATGCTAATTTGAAAAATGAAAATTTGTCTAAAAGAAAATTCTAATAAAATTCTTTAAAATGAAAATTCTAAGTAAGGACTTTTATGGGATAATTACTGTGTCCTAAAAAATTTAGTATTTTTTTTGTGCCGAAATCTTTCTGTTAATTGTTTGTTCGGCCAATTGTAATTTCGGATAAAGAAAAATTCATCCTCTTAAAAATTCTATCAATTAAAAATTCTTTTAAATAAAAATTAGGGCAAATTAAAATTCGGTGAATTGGAATTTCTGTCATTTAAAAATTCAAATCACATAAAATTCAATTGAATGAGAATTCTGTTGAATTAAAATTCTTTTAAATAAAAAATCATGTAAATTAAATGACTATAAAAATTCTGCCAAACAAAAATTCGGTAGCTAAAAATTTTGTTGTGTAAAAATTCGTATTATAAAAAATCAGTCTTCGAAAATTGAAATTTCGTTTAAAAAATAATTATTTCTAATAAAATACTTTAAAATAAAAATTCTAATTTATGATTTTCATGAAATGAAAAGGTAATTTTCTCGTTACCTCATTTTTTGGGTGCCTTTTAGTGTTCACATCATTCTTTAGAAAATAACAAAATTTTCGAGGAGAATTTCCCACAATTTCTTTTTTTTTTCAAAAGAATCTCTCAATAGATAATGAACTACTAGAAATGAAAATTTCTCATTTACAATACGAAAATATGACAATTATTATTATCGTCATATTGTTTTATAATAATAATAATATATATAAATATGTGTATAGTATTTGTTTGTTTAAGTTTTTAAAAGGCAATATTCTAGTGGAAACGAGTGAATGACGATAAAGACATATTGATTGTTGATTGTAGTTGTTTTTACTCTTTTATCCGGACTTTTTTTTATTGTACATTTTCGTACGATTTGTTGTATATCATAAGGATTATACATATTCACACGTTGTACACCGTACAAGCGGTATTTTTGAGTGACAGTGCGGCTATTGTAAGAATTGTTGAGAAACCCAGAAAAAAAAATGATGATAAACATAGTTTCTGGCGTACAACAAATATTGTGTTTGTAGTTTATTGTACTTTTTAAGTAAAAAAAAAAATTATACACATTGTATCTAAACGAGAAATTAATGAAAAAAAAAATGAAAAACAACAGAACTATATAGCTTTTGACGAAAAATGAAGTATCGGTCCTTTAGGAGAGCATCCGACTGTACCTCAAAAAATGCTGAGCAAGAGCCAACCCATGTAATAGGATAGCGTTTATTATGTGCAATGACGAGGCAACAAGTGTCAACTTAAATATACTCTTAAAATATATAAATCAATCTTTTCTATGTATATTATTTTTAATTAATATAATTTTTCTCGATTTTAATTATATAACTAGGTATCAAAATAAGGATATTTCTACTTAAAAAAAAAACTTTAATCCAAAATATCTGAGAAAGAAAAAAAATTTTTTCTATTAGTATCTAAGTGATTTTTAATATATATATTATAAAAAATTCTTAATTGAAAAATAAAGTGAAAAATAGTTCTCTTGTTGCCACGCTTAATATTGCCAACTAAATTATAAACTCTCATCTGTATTTAATATAACACTATTAATTATTGCAAACATTATAAATTTACGATAACGATAACGATTGATTACAATTTTGTCCTAATGTTCAGAAAATAAATATAAATCTCCATATTTTTTATTGACTTTTCCTATATATGTCCGTTAACCTTTTTTATTTGTGATTTTTTTATTTAAAAATTATTTAGTTTCTTTTTTTTATATAAGTTTTATGAAATATAATAATATGTGCAACATTTGAATAATATTACTTGAGACGAAAAATAAATTTAATAGCTCGATAATGATATTTTTCGAAGAATTTTATTTTTTAATTGACAACTTTTAACTATACTTATTCCACTCCTGTTCCTAAGTCATTCTTAGTTTTATATCCTTATAAAGAAAAGTCGATAATCTCTCGCGAAAATGGATAATCTTTATTCAATTGGCTATAATCTTTTAAAGTTTGTAATTTTTGTTTTAATTTGATATTTTAAAGTTCTAAATAGTTCTTTCGTTTTTTTTTTAAATTTAGACAAAGCTGAAGTACGCAACGTTTATGATAAACGATTTTTAAGGAAATAATTTTTTTAAAATGAAAAATTGATTGAGGTTTTAACTGGGAATTTGAGGGGGTGTCACAAGAATATACGTTTATTTTATAAATATTTTTATTTTTTTTTAAACATAAATATACAGAATATTTGATAAAAAGATTTTTTAAACACTCCTACATTTGTAAGTACCAATAATAAAACTTCAATCTTCTTCAAATGATTTTCTCTCTTCTTCAGTTGGTTGAGTAGTAATCTGAAAATAAACAAGACAACAATAAAATAAATAAACAATTTTGAATAGTAAATTATAATAATAAATAATACTAAAAATAACAGTAATGAATAATATTTATACAAAACTAAATAAATAATGTAAAATTTTAATATATATATATAAATATTAAAAAATATGTGACGAGCTCCGAGGAAAGGTACCTAAGAAGCAAAAAATTGTAGGTTATGTTTGTGATTTTTAAAGTAAAAAATACATAAAGGGAATCAACTCTCATTATAAATTATTGGTGTTTAAATTTTTATAACATTGAAAATATTCAATAAAAACTGATTTTACTTTACATAATAAAAAAATAAACTTTTAATTAAGGTAAAATTACGACAAACATAACCTTAAAATGATTTGCTTCTTAGGTACCTTTCTTCAAAGGGCGTCACATATACATATATATAATTAAACTTATCTAACTAGAAACTTAGTTTTATTTTCGAAGAAATTCAAATGTAAATAAACATTTAAAGTACTTTGATAAACGATTTTTAAAGAAATAATTTTTCGTGAATTTAGAAACTTTTGCATATAATACTGTATTTTTAATTGTTATTATTGTAATCTTCTCTTCTTTTTTTTGAGAAAATTAAATTATTATTTCATAATTAGAAGTACAGATGTATTTTTGTATAGGTTTAGAATATTTTTTATTTAAACAATTGATTTGTAAAAAATCTTAACAATTTATGTCGATTATAGTATTTACATAATAATAATAATTATATATATTATTATATAATAATTATAAATTCGTTTTTTGTCTACTTGTTTTCACAGTTTAGATTTTTCGCTAAGAAATTCTGTCGCCAAAACATTAAATTCCTCAGAATATCTTAAATGTAGATTATGGCCTCCTTGTTCAAAATATTTAATTCTGAAAATTGATTTTTAAATTTTATCACTTAACATTAAATTTAAAAATTTTATTTGAAATTTTTCAATATTTCATATACTTTAAATTTTAATACTGGCATATACTAACTGTGAATTTTTGATATGTTTATTCAAAAATGTTGGATGTTCTCGAGCAACTAAGACATCTTTTTTTCCATGAACAATTAGTGTTGGACATTTAATATTAGCAAGATGTTCTTTACAAATATTGCCTTTATTTTTTGCAAAAAGTATAATCATTGTATCAATCCATTTGCTCCATGTTTCTTGAAAATAATTCTTTCCATATAAAGCCAGCAATGGATCTTTCATTTTTGCTGACCAACTATCAATATTTCTAATGGCTAAAATGTAAATTAAATAAAATATTAAAAAACTGTAATTAAATTATTAAGAACTATATTTATTTACAAGAAAAAAAATTATTATACTAACATTCATAAACCTGAATTTCTTCAGGTAAAACAAATGAATTGGCTCCAATGATTAACATTTTTCTGATATTTTCCGAATATTTTGAAGCTAAAATCAAAGAAGTGATACCACCATCACTCCAACCAATTAATGAAAAAGTCGAATGACCAAGTGCCTTCATTAAATGATAACCCCATGTTGCATCACGTTCAAAAAAATTATCTGGAAAATTTCGATTTGGTGGTCTAGATTTTCCATAACCAGGTGGATCCCAAGCAATAATTTTAAATTTATCTTGTGATAAATTTTCGATTTGAGGTTTAAAATCTGTCCATGCTGAGCCTAAAATACAATTATAATAAAAGAAAAAAAATTACTATTAAATTTTATTAAAAGACAAATAAAGTAAAAATTTAAAAATTGTTATAAATTAGATTTTTAGTATAAATTTAATTCAATTATTAATATTGAAATTGAAATAATAATTTTTGTTGTATTTTTAAATAACGCGGCTAAAATTTACTGACAGAATTATTACCAACGTAAGATAAAAATTAAACGGTTGATAAACTTATTCTTATTATCAAAACAGTTGTAAAGCTTCTTTCACTAAAATTAATTTTAAAGAAATAACTTTTTCTACTATACTCACCCATTACACCTGGTAAAAGTAATACAGGGTGTTCTCCTTTACCAACTTGAACACAATTAATATCAATACCATCTACATTAATTTTACCTTCCTAAAAAATTGTTATTTCAAAATTAAATAGGCAAAAATATATATTTTATATATTTAATTTTTATCTACCTTTATATTATGTCCGATATTTGTTGAAAAATTCGTCACTTTCAATTTATTAGTGTACAATTTTTGCATTGAATTAAATAATTTTCTTTGCAAGTTAGTTAACATTGTTCTTGTTAGTGCCATAATTTTTATCAATGCATGTGATTAAACAAGAATATCTTTGGAATGATTCGTTGCTTTCACAATGAGCAGGAACGAATCAAAAGATAATTGTGCCCAGTATTTAAATAATTTAAAAAAAGTAATAATTTAAAAATTAAATAATAACGAAATAAATGTCTATAAAACATTAGGATGTCAAATTTCATTTATATAGAATTACTTGCAATGAAATCTAATTTATTATTTAACCTGAAAATTATTATAAATATACAGTGAATTTATTATAATTATTGTTTTATTAATAATAATAATTGTTGAAGTCGATAATAATAATTCTTATATTAATTGTTGTATTTGCCGCTATTTTTTACAGAAGCATACGAAGCATGGACATGATTAGCAAAGACATTAACCAGTCTTGAAAACAACTTCTCTATGAATTATCAATAAAAACTATAATTTTTTTCATCCAAGAATTCAAATTTTAATGAGTTGCGCGCCACTTCTTGTTCCAACGAGTTTGCACTCATTAACATATTTTCGGTTCTTCATCAATTTTGTCCGACATTGAAGAAGAAATTTCAATAATATTGAATTTATCACTTGGTGAGTGTATATTAAAGTTGTTAAAATTTATCAATCTTCCAAGTCAATTTTAATATTTGAAAAAAAGGAAGATAAAAAATAAAAAACGATCCCTTTTCTTAACATTTCGACAGCACAGCTGTCCTCATCAGAAACTAAAAAAATTGTTTTTTTTATTAAAAAAATATTAAAATAACAATAATTTACAATTACTATAGTTAATTAATTTTAAAATTTTGAATATTACTGAAAAAAGTACATTCTTAGGTCATTGAACTCGTCGTAGTTGTATACAGATTATGACGTTTCAAGTATAATTGTATTGATAGAAACTCATCTATAAAAAGTAAATTAATAAACTCTATTATTTGAATTTATAATTAGAGAAGAAGTTTATATAGTTTTTGTTCAAATTTTTAATATCATCCTAATCAAAATCGTGCTTAAGATCTTGTTTATGTGTCGCAATAACATTTGTTTTTGATTTTTTATGTTCATTAATTCTCACACCAAGCATTCTCTTTGATTCACATTTAATTTTATAAACAAAGTTTGGTTTTTATTTGTAATGTCTTTGCCTTTCTTTACGTAATTATTATTCTGATTCATTTTTGAAATTGTTAAAGTGTTGAATTTGTATAGTAAATTTGATGTTTTGTAAAAAAATCTCTTCTGAATATGGTATAACAATCTTTTTAACTCTAAAATTTGTTTTTTTAAAACATCGAAATTTTTGTGAGTTATTTTCAATTACTTGACTCGATATTATTGATTTTTTATTTATGAGGGATTTTAAGTGAAGTGACTGCTTATAATTATGACATTAATGTCTCAAAAATTAAAAAATAACATTGATAACATAATTATAAGCAATTAGAGTAGATGCATCGGTTTTAGCCAACCTCACATTTTTATTGATGTGTTGATTAGATTTACTTGACATGAAAATAAAACAATTTTTAGAAGGCGTCAAGAAACGGCCATTTTCTAATGACAAAGTCTAAGCGGATTCGAAACATAAAGTCGATCATTTCTTTCTAAGGAGTAAAAATAATAATAAAAACTTGTAGATTAATCTTCAAAATGTTTAAATTATTCAGTACGTATAAAATATTTTACTAAAACCTTGTTATTTAATAAAAAAATACACTAAGTGATCTATTAACAAGCGCTAGTAACTTATTTTATATAATTATTATATAAGAAGATGTACTAAATAACCTATGTGCGAAATGCCAAGACTGCCAATACGGTCCAACATTGGCCCAGTAATGTCTGCCGAAGTACGGCAAACGTTACTGGACCAGTTCTGGCGATCAACTCGTCCCATTACTGGGTCAATATTGGCAACGATTCTCGGTAACCCCAATTTGCCATAATTAGTCTGAACTCCGTCACATTACTGGGCTAATATTCGCACCAATACTTGGTAATTCTAATTTTCCATAATTGAGACGAACTCTGTCCCATTACTGGGTCATTATTGGCTCATTGACGGCTGAAATGTTGAATTTACTTTGAAAAGTCATTTTTTCCAAAGTTGGAACGAATCTCGTCCCAGTAATGGCGCATTAACGGCTGAAATGTTCCTCAAATGCAGCTTATCAAAACATTTTTGTGTTGAGATTTCCATATCCGCGTATAGTGTAGTGGTTAGCGTGTTAGAATTTTTAGGTTGCGAGTTCTTTTCCCGCGAGCGTTGCAAATTTTCAAATGTTTAAACAATTGCGCTTTCGGTCAGAACTTATATTATAAACTTTTTTAAACTTTGACAATACTGGGTCACTAATGGCAGCCAAGGTTGGCCCAGTAATGGCGTCTGATATTAACAATAAACTGTAAACGAAAATTGTAATGGATTAGAAAAAAGGAAGATATTTTGAAAAAAGCCTTTGCCCCACATAGCGATATTACCCCGTTCATCCTTATATAAACAAATTCTTCTGAAAATACCATGCGAATTTCCTCCTGTAAAGTCACGTCACATACTTCAATTAATTTCTGATCAAAAATTACGGTACAGCATATTTGTTTATATAAATTGTTTAAAACTATAAGGAAATTTGTCGAAAAACAATTGTTTAATGAGTAGGATATTTAAGGGCAAAAATCCAAAGCAAATTTAGACAAAAATTGTTTTAAAAAATAAGAAAATTTATTGAAAAAGCACTTTTTATGAAAAAAAGTTCAATATCGTAATAATTAAAAGCAAATTTACTTAACAAAATTTTTTTATTGACAACAAACAGACTTAAGCAGTAATTGTTATAATTTTTTTTATAACAATTTTTAAATAAAAAAAACTTTTTTTCATAATTATTTTAAACGCAAATTATTATTTAGGAGAAAAAGAATAACATTAAGGTGGCCGTTTTAGTCAGATTTCCCCTGTTTATTTGTTATTTTGAATTCAATCTTACAGTATTAAATCCAAGTTAAATCAGAACGAAAAATAAACAAATACGTCAAGTAATATAACTATATACTTTCATTATTCAGGTATAGAAGGTCAACTAACACAAGAGGGTGTAATAAATGGTTTATTATGACTAGACTTCCAGTCGTGTCTATTGTTTTCATGTTCACTTCTCAACTTATATTTCTTTTGGAATATTTATTATTTTACCAAAAATTAAATTTTATATCACAATTTTAAAATAAATTGAAAATTGATTAATTCTGATCAAAAATTGCGGTAGAGTATATTTGTTTATATAAATTGTTAAAAAATAAAAGGAAATTTGTCGAAAAACAATCGTTTAACCTTCGCCGGACTAGATTTTTTTATATACGCTGTTGACGAGAACTCACCCATGGTGGGTCAAATATTTTCTTCTTTAAATATTGCAAAAAAACGTGGAATCATCCAGTTTTTTTCGGAAATTGTTTAAACAAATAATTGTTACTATTAACATTTCTCATAATATTCCAAGAAAGTTGCCATTTTTTTCTAACTTTGCAATTTAAAAAACATAATAAAATAACATGAAGATTTTATATGAATTTACTATTTAACGAATTGTTTACAACAAATAAATGTTGCTATTTATTCCTAATTTTTCAACTTAATAAGCTTAATATAATGCAGTCCAGGGAACGTTAATGAAAAGGGAATATAAGCGCAAAAATAAAATAAATTAATTTTTTAAAAAGTGGTTTCATTATTTATTCAGGTGTTTAATTGATACAAAAATAAGTTGTGATGAATAACTATATTTATACCATAAGAATAATAATTATTATTATTATATTTACAGCATAAATAAAAAATAGTAAAATAATTATAGTATAAATAAATATTATACTATAAAAATAATAATTATTATACTTATATAGTATAAATATAAATTCATGGTATGTGAATTCATTAAGATTATTTTTTTCATATTCATATTAATCATTGTTAAAGACAAAAATAATAACTTTTAAATTTTCTGTTGATCTTGCAGCTATTAATAAAAATTTTCGTCATCGGAAAATTTAAATTTCAGCGGATCGCGCGCCACTTCCAGTAACTCCCGGTCCCTAGCAGCGTCGCGCGTCAGTTCCAGCTGAGCCAATCAACGCCTGGCGTTCTGTATACCACCACATCCACAGTCGCGCGCAACTTCCAGCTGAGCGCTGAGGCTATTCAGTCCTCCATCAGCCACGTGCCAACAACGTCCGGAATTATGGTGAGTTTTTCTCAATTACTTATCCCAGATACCACCCCCTTTTCTAGGAAGTTAACGATGTAAAGTTCCTTACTTAACTCTGTTAACTTCCAGTTAAATTGCATGAATTTCTATATATTCCCCTTTTTTCTTTCCTTTGTTAACTTTCTAGTACTTATCAATTATTTACTAGAAAAATGCAAAGGATTATTTCTGAAATATTAAAGTGATAGTTTTAAATATTTTAGTTTAAAATTTTTTTTCTAAAATTATCTCATCAATGTACTTTAAATGATTACATATGAATTTCAAAAAAAAAATTGAACCATAAATTTCTTGTAAATGGGACATTTTACTTGAAACGGTCAAACCCCTTATGTTTCTTTTAAATATTATTACTTTTAAATAATATTACTATTATTATTTTATCAAAAATCCATTAAACGATGGAAAATAGGTGAATATTTTGTAATAAATTTAATGACGTCAAAGTAATTAAATTTAATACAAAATATCCATCTATTTTCCTTCGTTTGATGGATTTTTAATAAAATAATAATAGTAATAATATTTAAAAGTTCTTCGGTTTCTTTTCAATATTATTACTTTTAAATATTATTATTACTATTATTTTATTAAAAATCAACGGAACGATGGAAAATAGGTGAATATTTTGTAATAAATTAAATGACGTTAAAGTAATTAAATTTAATACAAAATATTCATCTATTTTCCTTCGTTCGATAGATTTTTAATAAAATAATAATAGTAATAATATTTAAAAGTAACAATATTAAAAAGAAACAGAAGGAGTTTGTCCGCTTTATCTAAAAAGCCCCAAATCTTTTTAGATAAGTTTAATTTATATATAATATTTAATTATATGTATAATATATTTTTACATTTTTTATTTAAATATTTTTATATGAATATTATTAATTAAAAACTTGTTAAAAAAAAATAATAATAATACAAAATAATAATTTTAAAAAAAAATTTGTATTAACAATATTTTTAATTATTTATTTCATTGTTGACCTGTTTATTAACCAACTAACAATCATCTGAAAAGAAGAAAAGAATATCTTTTAAGATGGAATTGTCGTTATTGGCACTTATAAATGTCGTGATATATTAAAAACCTTTTTCATAACCGTTATAAAAAATATATAGAAGAATATTGCAAACTTCAGAATGTTGAGCTGCAAGGTTCATTAAAGGGTTGTATAAATATTAAAATATTCGCTCTGATTTCATTTTAGTTGCGAATGTATACAAAAAATTTAATTAGGGCGGACATTTTAATTTTTATAGAACCCTTTCCTGAACCTTGCAACTCAATAATCCGAAGGTCGAACTTAAATTTTTCCAATAAATAAAAAAATTGAAAATAACATTTTTTGAATAGGAATGTAATAATATACGTTTATTTTATATTTTTATTTATTTTCAAATATAAATATACAGAATATTTTATAAAAAGGTTTTTTAATCACTCCTACATTTGTAAATACCAATAATAACACTTTCACCTTCTCAGCATGATTTTCTCTCTTCTTCAGTTCGTTGAGTAGTAATCTGAAGATAAACAAGACAACAATAAAATAAACAAAAGGTTTTTAATAGTAAATTATGATAATAAATAATACTAAAAATAACAGTAATAAATAATATTCATATAAAACTAAATAAATAATGTAAAAATTATGAAATATATAAATAAATATTAAAAAATAAATAAAATTAAACTTATCTATCTAGAAACTTAGTTTTATTTTCAAAGAAATTCAAATGTAAATAAAAATTTAAAGTACTTTGAGCAGATACTTTTAAAGAAAAATTTGAAACTATAAATTATGTTTAAAACTTAACACTTTAATATTTCAGGAACAATCATCTGCATTTTTAAAGTAAATAAGTAGTGGTAAGTAATAGAAGTGAACAAAGAAAAGAAAAAAAGGGGGGATATATAGACATACATGGAATTTAACTGGAAACGACAGAGTTAAAATCGGGACTGACCATCGTTAACCGAAAGAAAAGGGACCGGTAGAAGGGAAAGTAAGAGAAGAACTCCACCAAAAAGAAGGACAGGAGGACGTGTCTGAAGAGGGAGGACTAGGAGGAGGAAGAAGAAGAAGAAGATGACGACGACGACAATTAAAAGAGAAATATATATTAATAAAAATTTTTATTCAATAAATGTTTGTTTTTTTATAGTGTCTCCTCTTGTCTGTTCCAAGGCCACTTTCTTGCACACGTGCCTCCTGTCCTTCATTTTGGTGGAGTTCTTCTCTTACTTTCCCTTCTACCGGTCCCTTTTCTGTCGGTTAACGATGGTCAGTCCCGATTTTAACTCTGTCGTTTCCAGTTAAATTCCATGGATTTCTATATATCCCCCGTTTTTTTTCTTTTCTTTGTTTACTTCTATTACTTATCACTGCTTATTTACTTTAAAAATGCAGATGATTGTTCCTGAAATATTAAAGTCTTAAGTTTTAAACATAATTTATAGTTTCAAATTTTTCTTTAAAAGTATCTGCTCAAAGTACTTTAAATATCCTAAATTAGAGAAGTTAAATTTATATATTTTTTTAAAATATTTATTTATATTTTATATTTTTACCATTATTTATTTATTAAGTATTTTTGTATGAATATTATTCGTATTTTTTTATTGTTAATTTTACTATTTTTTATTACTCATTATTTAGTTCTTAGTTAATAAACAAGTATAAAATGAAATAAATAAACAAGTAAAAAAAAAACATTCGAATGTAATCATAATTTTTATTACCTTTTCCATTAAATGCATTTAAAAATATAATAAATAACAGACAAGAAACATCTTCGTATTATCAATAATATTATACTTTTCTAACAAGATTTTAATTAATAATATTCATACAAAAATATTTAAATAAAAAATGTAAAAATATATTATACATATAATTAAATATTATATATAAATTAAACTTATCTAAAAATATTTGGGGCTTTTTAGATAAAGCGGACAAACTCCTTCTGTTGTTTTTTAATATTATTACTTTTAAATATTATTACTATTATTATTTTACTAAAAATCTATCGAACGAAGGAAAATAGATGAATATTTTGTATTAAATTTAATTACTTTGACGTCATTAAATTTATTACAAAATATTCACCTATTTTCCATCGTTCCGTTGATTTTTAATAAAATAATAATAATAGCAATAATATTTAAAAGTAATAATATTAAAAAGAAACATAAGAACTTTTAAATATTATTACTATTATTATTTTATTAAAAATCCATCAAACGAAGGAAAATAGATGAATATTTTGTATTATATTTAATTACTTTGACGTCATTAAATTTATTACAAAATATTCACATATTTTCCATCGTTTAATGGATTTTTGATAAAATAATAATAGTAATATTATTTAAAAGTAATAATATTTAAAAGAAACATAAGGGGTTTGACCGTTTCAAGTAAAATGTCCCATTTACAAGAAATTTATGGTTCAATTTTTTTTTGAAATTCATATGTAATCATTTAAAGTACTTTGATGAGATAATTTTAGAAAAAAAATTTTAAACTAAAATATTTAAAACTACCACTTTAATATTTCAGAAATAATCCTTTGCATTTTTCTAGTAAATAATTGATAAGTACTAGAAAGTTAACAAAGGAAAGAAAAAAGGGGAATATATAGAAATTCATGCAATTTAACTGGAAGTTAACAGAGTTAAGTAAGGAACTTTACATCGTTAACTTCCTGGAAATGGGGGTGGTATCTGGGATAAGTAATTGAGAAAAACTCACCATAACTCCGGACGTTGCTGGCACGTGGCTGATGGCCGACTGAATAGCCTCAGCGCTCAGCTGGAAGTTGCGCGCGACTGTGGATGTGGTGGGATACAGAATGCCAGGCGTTGATTGGCTCAGCTCGAACTGGCGCGCGACTGTGGATGTGGTGGGATACAGAACGCCAGGCGTTGATTGGCTCAGCTGGAACTGGCGCGCGACGCTTCAGGGGGCCGGGAGTTAGTGGAAGTGGCGCGCGATCCCCTGTAATTTAAATTTTCCGATGACGAAAATTTTTATTAATGGCTGCGAAATCAACAGAAAATATAAAAATTATTATTTTTGAGTTTAACAATGATAAATATAAATAAGAAAAAAATAATCATAATGAATGCACTGCATGTAATTATAAATACATACCATGAATTCATATTTATACTATATAAGTATAATAATTATCTATTACTTTCGTTATTTTAAATAAATTATTTACAGTTTTTCTTCAAATTTTAAATTGACATGCATAAGAATTCTTTAATTTATTTAAGAAATACAAAGAATTTATAATAAATATTTCATTTTTTCAAAGTGAACTGTGCTTGTTTGTTAGAAGCGATAATTTTAATTCACATTTTTATGAATTATTATTTGATAACAATTATCATTTTATCCATCAATAAAAATGATAAAAATCGAGATTTTTTCTATAAAATAGTAATGAAATAATAATTTAAAACATAAAATAAATATACATTTGCGAGATTCCACGTGAGATTTACCTATGACATTTTAAATTCGATATATATTTTTTTTCCATCTTTATAGAAAAAAAAGTTTACCAATTTTTTTATAAGAGCTTAAATTTTCGAGTTATGAATTTTTAAAAATCTGATTTTTTCAAGTTCTTTAAAAATATGCCCAATTATAGTGATATCTAACTCTAATAGTATTAAGTTTAGGAATTATCATAAAGATACAAAAAAGTTTTAGTTTTTCATCGACATTCAGAAATATTAACAAAAAAAAATTGTGAACTTGTTTGTAAAAAACAGCGATTTTTATAAGAAAATTAAATTTTTTTAAATTTAAGGGTCATTTATTAATTGCGTAAGGGTCCTTCGCGGGAGGGGGGTTTATAAAATCTTTACGTGGTCTCACGTCGGGGGGTGAAGGGGGTAGAAGCTACATATACGTTAGACTTCGCCAAGTATTTTCCATTTGTATTGTTGTAATTAATTTTTTAATTACATTAATATTCTTAAAAATTCACGTAAGAAGGGAGAGGGGGGTCCGAAAAATATGTATCCTTACATGGTGAATTTTTAAACAACTTGGAAAAAACAGATTTTTAAAAATTCATAACTCGAAAATTTAGAATTATAATATAAATATAATAATTTATTATAACTTATTTTTGTATTTATTAAACTTTTGAATAGGTAAATGATGAAAACAATTTTTAATTAATTTTCTTATTTTTAAATACATTTTATTAAACATAAGAACAGTAGAGACGACTGGAAGTCTAGTCATAATAAACCATTTATGACACCCTATTGTATTAGTTACCCTTCTATACCTGAATATCGAAATTATATAGTATTATTATTTAAAGTATTTGTTTATGTTTCGTTATGATTTAATATTGTAAGGTTGAAATCAAATTTACATTGATTGAAAAAATAACAGTTTTTAAATATAAAAACTTTTTTCTTACTACTTACCTACCAGTAGACACTAAATTTATGCAATATTAAGTATACAAAAAAAAATTTGAAACCAATATAGACTAAAAAATTTAAAAAATAATAATTTTATTACAGTTTTCCTAAACATTTAAAATTTATAAAACTAAAAGAAAGAAATCGACTCGCACAGATTTGTTCCGAAGTTAGTTCTGAATTAGAGGGCACAATTTTTGAATTTACAAAAAAAAAATTAAAGAATAATTTGATTTTTATTTAAATGTTTTATGTAATTGTGATTTATTTCTTCCTCTAACGTATTAAGCCCCAAATACAACAAATAATTTACGATGTTTTAGTTTTTATTATGTTTATTCTTGTAATATGTTATAATAATAACAGTATTCTACATTTTTTTAAATCTTGGAAAACTATCATATTTTATATGAATTAAATAAATGAACATTTTATTTTCACATTTTATTCAATGAAATAAAATCTAGTCGATTAATTGAGAAGCGAAATAAAATTAAATTTACTGAAATGAAAACTAGACCAATTAATAAAAAAATAATAGTAAACATAAAAACTTGTTCGAAAGAAAATTCCATTAATAAATATTTCGTTTAAATGTGAAATAAAAAGTTCTCCCTATTTGGTTTTGAGACATTTAATTTTTTTAATATTTAAATAGTCTTAATTTTGATTTATTTTGTAAATTTTTAACATTTTACACTATAGAATTTTTTTGTACATTAACAAATAGAATCAAATTCTATATATATATATATATATATATATATATTATCTATTCAAAGTAATTTATCTGCTATTATCTAAACGTGTACTTAACGCTGACACGTTAGAATTCGTAAGTCTCTGTTACTCAGGTATTTGAAAATTTCTTCAATACATTCATTTGGTAACTGAGAAAAGTTTTTAAACAAAAAATATAAAATTCTATTGGCATGCTTAAGTAACTCTTTTCTTTCTATGCCATTTCTGAAATGACTTTTTAACAAACTAGCGTATATTGGAAACTTTGTATCATAATCATATGTATCTAAAACACGTGCTAAATGTTCATTTTTCATATACGTTGACAATGAGTTTATATTTTTTTTAAAAATATCATAAAATGAAATGTTGACTTTATTAATCATCAAACTCTTCATGCATGATACTTCTACCTGACATTTATTTATAAAATCATTGTATTTATGATTTTTCCTTAATGATTGTAAATTTTTTTTACTTACATGTAGATTTGCGGTTTTTAATTTAATTATGTGATGTTGAAGAGCTTTAACAATTAATTTATATCCGTATACATGATCAAGAATATTGTGCTGATAATGATAATATTCATCGTCAGATGAGTCAAAGGTGGAATCTTCTTCAAAACTATATTGCTCATAGATTGAATCTATCACACTTTCAGCGCAATCAAAAGGTGTTTTAAAATAATCATCAGTAATATTAATATCAGCACCATAATCCAGAAGAATGTTAACAATGCCATCATGTCCTTTTTGAGAAGCAATGTGAAGTGCTGTTTTGCCAGACTTATCTCTAGAGTTAATATCGACACAAAATGAAAAATTACTTTTGATTTTATCATCGACTTTGGTACCAAATTCTAGCAATATTATTAAAGTAAATTCACAAGATTTTTCAGCTGCAATGTGAAAAGCAGTAGTCCCATCTATTCGTTTAGCATTTACATTAGCGCCATTACTTAGAAGCAGTTTAGTAATTTCTTCTAATTCTTCAGATACAGCACAATGCAATGCTGTACTTCCATCTTTATGACAAGCATTAATATTAACACCATGATGCAAAAGAGATTGAACGATTCCTAGGTCCTCAGTCTCAATAGCAATTCTCAATAGCAAAGGATTATCTTTTACATTGGCTCCATTATTTAAAAGAAGTTTAGTAAGATTGTAATCTTTATTCTTAATAGCATAAACTATTGGAATATTTTTGATTTTATCCTCAGCATTTATATCAGCACCTTGTTTCAATAGATGTTCAACAAATTTTAAATATTTTTTTTGAACAGCAACATGTAATAACTCATTTGCATCTTCGGGGTTAACATTAAAACCATATTCTAAAAGAGACTCAACAATCGTTTTATATTGTTTTCCATTGCCATACACAGCAATTTTAAAAGATTGTCTATTATTTTTATTATTAATATCAGGAAAATACTTTAAAACATTGTTAACAAATTCTATAGATTTTTCTTTAACTGCAAGTTGTAGTATGGTTGTATCATTTTGTACTGGATCATCAATTTGTGCTCCATGTTGTAGAAGAAATTTTACAATTTTATCATAGTTTTTTTCAATTGCAATATAAAATAAACTTTTACCCTGAAAACTTATGTCTTTATATTCAGCGCCACGTTTTAAAAGTAATTCAATAATTTCTATTTTCTTTTTTTCAATCGCAATGTGAAGTGCAGTTTTACCAAATTTACTTTGATTAATTTCAGCACCTCTGTCTAAAATCATCTTAATAATTTTCATGTCACCATTTATAATTGCTAATTGAAGAGGCGTACTGTGAGTTCGTTTCGGTAAGCTGTTGACTCTAGAACCCCTCGTCAAAAGTAGTTTAGCAATCGCTAAATTGTTTCTTTCAAGAGCATCACAAAGTAAATGATATCCTCCTTTCCATGATTCTGAGTAATTCAGCCCATAAATATTGATTAATTTTTTTACTTCTTCTAGGCTTCCTTCACAAACTGCACGATTTAACTTACGGTGAACACTCTAAAAAGTGAAAGTAAAAAAAAATTATGAAAAACTTTTAAGCGAAAAAGCAAAATGAAAGAAATTAGGGTATCTGCAACGTTTATCGGATAGTTAGTGTTAACCCACACAGCACAGTATATTGCTGTAAGCTTACCTCAAGCTTACATGTAATTTTTGTAAGCTAACCCTGTAAGCTTCAGGTAAGGTCGAGGTAATATAAAAATGTCCGCCATACAGTAAGCTTACACAGTAAGGCCATAGTAAATTTACATGGCAAAGTCACTGTAAGGTTACAGTAAGCTTACACGGCAAGTTTTCAATGGTATCAATAAATAATTTTTTTTAAATATTTATGCGCAGTAGCTTTTTATGGCACTTACGAATTGCCATTATTGTTTACTGTAAGTTGATAAATTAATACTTTGTTATTTGTTAGCAATTAATGTAAGCTTACCGTGTAAGCTTACAGTGCCCCTACCATGTAAGCTTGCCATGACTTTACCATGTAAGTTTACCATGGCATTACTGTGTAAGCTTACTGTATGGCGGACATTTTTATATTACCTCGACCTTACCTGAAGCTTACAGGGTTAGCTTACAAAAATTACATGTAAGCTTGAGGTAAGCTTACAGCAATATATTTTGCTGTGTGGGAAAGGGGGAAATAGATGTAGAGCGATTTCCTAATTGCGTGATTAAACTTTTCTGAAACTTTTTTTCAAAAACGTTTTTCTCAAAACAACTTTTTTCGAAATTGTGTACACTTTATCTCAAAAGGTTTTTAATCAATCATTCTGAAATTTGGCATTTAGTTTCATTATATAAATACGCTCTATGTGAACTTCAATCTTGCACAATATTTTTGTTTAATTTTGGTTTTTGTTATAAAAAAACCGCTGCCAAGTTGAAGTATGTATTTTTGTGTTCATTCCATGAACACTTTGCTTCCTCATGGAAGCATTTATCCTCATGGATAAAGTAATCGTAAAATGTTCGTTAATAGGTCAAAAGATGCGTCTTGAAAATCTCTACAAAATGAAACTAAAAAAACTGTAGGTGTCATAACATTTTTTTAAAGTTATGAGCAAAAAACGATTTTTTATGATTTTTAAAATGTCAATAACTTTGGATAAAATAATCGTAAACTGTTCGTTAATAGGTCAAAAGATGCGTCTTGAAAATCTCTACAAAATGAGACTAAGAAAACTGTAGGTGTCATAACATTTTTTAAAGTCATAAGCAAAAAACGATTTTTTATGATTTTTAAAATGTCAATAACTTTGGATAAAATGATAGCAGATTGTTCGTCAATAGTTCAAAAAATGCGTCTTAAAAAACTCTACAAAATTAAGTAAAAACATCCCAACTTTCAAAACATGTGTTTCAAGTTATGGGCAAAAAACGATTTTTCAAAAATTTTAAAAGTCAAAAAAAATATAGTTAATATGTATTAATTTGTCCCAAAGTTTTCTCATTTTATGTCCCCAAGTGAGATCTACAATTTAAAAAAAAATTCAGCCCTAAAGCTCTTATAGAATTTGAGATATTTATGAAAATGTAATGTATATATACACACACACACACACATACGGAATGACATTTTCTAAAAATGTCATTTTTGGATTCCTGAGGTCAAAAAACATAAAGATATGTCAAAAAAATGAGTTCGAAAAATTTCGCGAAAACAATACTTCCTCCATGAGGAAGCAATAGAATAAAACAAGGAGGGGGTCCTTTATGTTTATTTCATAAACATTATGCTTCCTCATTGTGTGAAGCAAAAAATTCGCTTTCTCGTGAAGGAAGCAATGAATTTGTCCAATTCAATTGATTGAATTAAAAAATTTCGAGTTAAAAATGTTTTAAATTAATTAAATTTTTTGAAAAATAAAGAAAATTTTAATTAATTTTGAGTGTAACATAAACTTTATATATACGAATCGATTCGTTTTAATGCAAGGAATACAATTATTTTATTCATCAACTTGAATTTAAAAAAAACACAAAATTTTTTAGCTAAAATATGAATTTTCGATTTTTCAATTTTTATTAATTCTCAAATTTTAAATCAAATCTATACTTTATATATACCAACCAATTCGTTTCAATGCAGGGAATAAAATTATTTCATATATAAACATGAATTTAAATAAACACATCATTTTTTAGCTAAAATGAGAATTTTTGATTTTTTAACTTTCTTTAATTCTTTAAATTTCAATCAAATCTATACTTTATATATATCAATCGATTCATCTTGACATAAAGAAGACGATTATATTATATATTACCTTAAATTTTTCGATTTAAAAATTTTTGGAAAAAAGACGATAAAATTTTTTTTTTGGGTATTTTTAAAAATCCTCTCGTCATTTTTGAGAGATTAATGTGTTAAATAAGCCTACCAAATTTTATCCAAATCCATTAAAACCTGTTAAAGATATCGTGTTCACCAAAACGATCCACACACACATACACACACACATACATACATCCGGACAATTGATCAGGATCTCATATAACATGTTTCTATATAGAGGAAAATTTGTTTTCACTATTTTTAAAAAGTTTATAAACGAAAGGACTACATAGCTTCCTCCACGAGGAAGCAAAAATTGTAAAAAATTATGTTTTTTGTTCACACCTCACAAAAAATTGGTAATTAATTTTTTTTTTAATGGAATTGAGGTTCACATAGAAGATATACATATAAAAAAATATATTCTTTGTATAATTAATTTCAAATAAAAATTGTGCTGTCCACAATGTACACAATGTACGACAGCAGATATTATTAATTTTTGGTGAAAATATTTGAAAATTATCAGAATATACTCTCAAATGTAAGGCATTTTACGTGTAATGTTCTAAGTTGGAAAATTGATTTTTCGAAAAAAAGTAAAACTTGGGGAAATTGTTGTCCTATCTGATAGTAAAATATCCCCAAAAAAAATGGACCGATTTTAGTGAAAATAGCAAATTTATGTTTAATTATAGAAAATCAAGGTCAAAATTGAAAAATTTTTAAAAACAATATTCACCATTGAAAAGAGCATGAAAAAACATTCAAAAAACATACCTGCCAAATTTTTTTTTATTGCATTTATAGACAACAAACATTCAAATAATAGGCGGTGTCAGGGAAAACTGATAAAATTGACTCCTCTCTATCTCCCCAAAAATTTTAAAAAAGTTAAAAATTATTTTGGGGATATTTTACTTTAGGTACACGGAGAGAAAAATCTGCCTTTTATAGTATAGAAAGGTTTACATTTAATGCACAGAAATTTTCTATGCTATATAGACATGAAATTTGAGTAATTATAGTACAATCGTATGTCTTTTTAGCATGAAACTTGTCTATGCTAATAATGTTTGTCATATAGCCTCTTATTACATACTTATTATACTTTTAATCCAACGGCGCCATGCGAAGATCGCACATAACATCATCCTACTATGTTTGCATAAGTTCTATGCTTTTTCGGGGATAGACTCTTGCAACTGGCGATTAGGCCACGCCCACCTTTACTTAATTGGAACTGCCCTAATCGCCAGTTGCAAGAGTCTATCCCCGAAAAAGCATAGAACTTATGCAAACATAGTAGGATGATGTTATGTGCGATCTTTGCATGGCGTTGTTGCTATTAAACTACATGTTTCGTACTATAGAAGCATATATACTATGCTTTTTTAGTACGGACAAATACTATCCTAAAAATTCTCAAATCTTTGCTCTATTAGTATGAAAAGTTTAAAGAAAAATAGCAGCAATCTATTTCATACTATAAAAGGCAGATTTTTCTCTCCGTGTACCATTCTTCTTAGTTTTTTGTTACCTACAACCTCTAGTACAAATTTTATTGTTTTTTTTTATTATTTGTTTTATAAAGTGTAACACAGTATTATATCACCAACAGAATAAAAAAAACTAAGAGGATCGATTGAAATTATGTGGCAGCTAGAGTGTCCACCGATTTTTCAATTGTAGTTTTGAGAAAAACGCGTTTAAAGTTTTCTTAACAGTTTGGTCGTGATTAACAATGATAATTGAATAATAATTCAAATTAAATTAAATTGTAATAATTGAAATTAAATTTTTTTCTATTAATTAATTCAAACTATATTGTACCATAATATCATAAATATAAAGGCGAGAAATGATAAAATTATAATAATTTAACATACTCTAAAGAAATGACAATTCCTTCACATTTTAAGATGCAAAATGGCTGAAAATCGCAGATATCGTATACTCGTGGCCAAATATGCCTACACTTTTTTTTATCCTTTTCTAGCACACGTGTTGCCATGACAACAGATGCGTTAGAAAAGGACAAAAAAGTGTAGGCATATCTGGCCACCAGTGTACATCATAACATTCGCAATAATTTTTCTTTTATTCTCATTACTTTTTACTAAATTATTACCCTACTGAAAATCCCTGTATAAGATCTTGTACAATTTCCTGTACAGGATAAGCAACTGAACTTGTACAAGTTCTGACCAGTTCCTGTACAGGAAAATGCATACGAATTTGTGTGAGATCTTGTACAAGAAAATGTACATGATCTTGTACAATTTCATGTATAAGTACTTGTACATGAACACGTTCATGTTCTTGCACATGTATAGTTTTAAAATTTTTTTTTTTTAATAAAATTTGAGATTTTGATAATTTTTAACCACTAAGATTCGTAACTCATGCATGCTAAAAACTATTGCGCAGCTGTAAAGGTTAAAGTAAACTATTGCGCAGCCTTTGAAGTTTTTAATTTTTAGTAAAGAAAAACATGAATTAACATGTGCAAGAACATGGACGTGTTCATGTACAAGTACTTATACATGAAATTGTACAAGATCATGTACATTTTCTTGTACAAGATCTCACACATGAACTTGTTTCAAATTTGTATGCATTTTCCTGTACAGGAACTGGTGAGAACTTGTACAAGTTCAGTTGCTGATTCTGTACAGGAAATTGTACAAGATCTTGTACAGGGATTTTAAGTAGGGTTTTCTATGATTATATAAAGAAAAAGTTTTTAAGTTTACAAAAAAAATATTACAAGTAAATAGAAAGTCGCATTTTTCTGAAATTATTAAAAAAAATTTGTCCGATAACCGGTGCACTTAGTCTATGTAAATTTTATTCTATTATACGTACCATAATAATGTTTTATAATTATTCCAGTTGACAGAGAAATTGACGATTGTTGACGATTTTCACTTGAGAAGTCTGTTGTATATTGATGTTGAGGTGGAAATTCTTCACATATATTCAGTTTATTTCAATCCAGTCCACTGTCCTTATTTATCTGTAACGTTACAAAAAATATAATTAGAAAGTATTTCTTATATGTGTATTTTTATTAAATTTTTAAACACCTTATGAAATAAGAGGTCTGCTCTGTATTCCCGGGTATAAACGACCTTAAAAACGTAACATAACGTTCCCATCCCTGCGCAACTGCAACACTGTGGTCATGTGAACAACACAATATCAGCCATTTTCGTTGTTTACTTCTTGATCTCGAAATAAAAACACCGGTGCTGTTTATATTTTTTTCGTAAATAAAATCTTAATTTAGTTTTTTGCAAGTTCCGTTTATTGTTTCAATGTATGCTAAATGATTCAATGAATCAACAAAGATAATATTAGATAATATAATTTCAATGACTTTCTTTTCTCATTGAGTGATTACTACAAAAATTTAATTTATAGGTTAGAAAACATTCAATTATTTATACATTTTCAAGTGTTTAAATTAATTTGTCCTTCTGGAAAAGTATTCTGTAAGACAAATTAATTAATAATAATTAATTGTGAACTTTTGCATGAAAAGTGACCCACTTTGTTGAAAAATTTATATTTTTGTTTTGATTTTGTAAAAACATTCTACAGGTTTTCGACATTCGACACGTCGAATTATGCAGTTTTTATAATTTTTTTTTGATATTGTGAGTATTTCATTTGTTTTTTTAAAAAAGAAAAAACGCCCATTTTGTTGGTCCGTTAAAAAAATCGTGAATTTCTGTTTTTTTCGACAATTTACTATAATATTCTACAGGTCATTTAAAAAGAAACTAAGAAAACCGTTTCGAGATATTATTATGTTTTAATAAATAAACAACAATTTGCTCAAATAAACCTACATATTAACGAGAAACATAAAAAAGAAAACTGTGGTGCTTTAAGGTTATATCGACTGCGCACATTTTCTTTAAACATTAATTGTGAAAAAAATATACAATTTAAAGAAAAATTAGTTTTTTTTCTATTTGAAAATTTAATTTAATTTTTAATAATTATTATAAATATAAAAACAGTTAAAAACTAATAACAAAATGATATTAAAATTATATAAATTTAAAATTAATAATTTAATATTAATATTATTATTATTTCGATCATAACTGTTTTTTTTTATTTATTTATATTTGTTAAAAGCAATGTTTTTAACCTTATTAAATTATTCATAATATTGTTTGACTTACCATTTTCTTTTGTTTTTCAATCACGATGCTGAAGTACGCAACGTTTATGATCAACGATTAGAAATCAATTATTTTTATTTAACACGAAAAATTATAAAATTGTTTACCTAAAAAAATATTTTTTTTATAATTTATTGATTAATAAAAACTACAATAAGAAATATTTTTTAGGCAAAGAATTATAGAATTTTTCATTTTAAAAAATTATTTCTTTAAAAATCGTTTATCATAAACGTTGCGTACTTCAGCTTCGTACTTCGTTTTCAATTGAATTGTAATGAATTAAGTTTGAGGCTATTTCATGATTTTAATATTATTTATTAAAAACTCATTTAAAAACGCAATAAAAAAAATTCCTTTAACAGAAATGTGTAAATGAATTTACTTGATTTTTTTTTTATGAAAAAAATTTAATTTCGAAAAATTGGCGTTTATCCCCTTTTGTCATTCTACCCTTTAAATATAAGTTAATGTTGGTAATATTCAAATAAGAAAAAAAAGGAGACTATTTATTTCCAATTTCTATCCTTTCAAAAAAATCGAGAAAATAATTCAACTTTAACCAATTAAATTATAGAAGGCATTTATTTTCAAATATAAATACAATGAGGTATTTCATGTAAAATGATCAAGGTGAAAAACAATTTTCTCCAAAATAAGATAATCTGTACATCTGTGAGATGATAATTCATCGCAGAAAGAATTTTTTCATTTAAATCAAAATTATTAATTTTCCAAATTTTTTGACTTCCTTTCCAATTGGTAAAATGAATTTTTTACCAAAGATATGAAAATTAAAAATAAATTTAACTTTTTTTGAATAAAGATCCCTGTAGAAAAAAACACAAAGCTGAAGTACGCAACGTTTATGATAAACGATTTTTAAAGAAATAAATTTTTAAAATGAAAAATTCTATTATTTTTTAGGCAAAAAATTATAGAATTTTTTATTTTTAAAAATTATTTCTTTAAAAATCGTTTATCATAAACGTTGCGTTCTTCAGCTTCGTAAAAAAACCCGTTTTTGTTTAAAAAAGATTGTATCTTTCAGTCAAAATAAGTCAAATTTATTTATCATTTTTATTTTTTTTTTCAAAAATGCATTTTTTATCAATTGAAAGGAAGTTAAAAAATCGCAAAATTACCCTTCCTCAGTTAATATTGGTCTGAATGAAAAAATTCTTGTTTGCCTTGAATTATCATCCCTTAGAAGTGTAACTTACTCAAGTTTGGAGGAAAATATATTTTCACTTTGATCACTTCACATGAAATCCTTCAAATAGAACACAAAATTTTATACTATCAGTGAATAAATTCTATTCTCTTAATTTAAATTAGTGAAATTCATAATTCACTAATTCATATTAGTAAGAATTTTGACTAACTTTTAGTAAAATATTACTATTTGATTAAGTAGTTTTAAATATTTTTACAAAAGTTTTAGTAAAAAGTGACTTAAAATTAGTGAAAATTCTTACTAATTTAAATTAGTAGCTCACTTTTAAATAATTCAGATTTAGAGAGTATTCTAGATGAAACACAATACTATTTTAATCGAATATTTTTCGAAGGTATACTTATCTCTTTTTTTGGATTTATAGATTTATTTTATTGCTCAAAATGCAAGCTGAAGTAAAAGCAATAGTTCAACAATCATTAAAAAAAGCTCGAGAACATGATTCAAGAGGAAATGTAGGACAAGCATACGCTTATTTTACAGCAGTTGTTGAATTGTCGCCGGAAAATCGTTCAACAGTGGAAAAAGAATTTACAGACGTTTTGTGTGAGTTACTTATTTCTATTTTTTTTTATAACCAATAATTAAATCCTTTTTTTTATGTTTCTACATTTATTTCCACTTTCTATTTAGTTTTCTTAAAAGAAGAAAATATTTATAGTTTTTTTTTTTATTTAATAATTAATTTTTAGGCGAATGGGGCATGCAACTGGAACAAAATAATCGAATGAAAGATGTTATAAAATGTTATGAACATTCTTTAGAACATTATCCAAAAAATTCGCGAATGCTTAACAATTTTGCTGCCCATCTTTTAAGGTAATTGAAGAAATAATTTTATATAAATTGAAATATTTTTTAAAGAATCTATAAAAAAATTAATTTGTTTATAAATTTGAAAAAAAAAACAAAAAAAGGAATGAAGAACCAATGAAGGCGATAAAATATCTTAAACAAGCTCTAGAGGCAGATTCAAATTTTTTACCAGCTGAGAGAAATTTACAAAATGCTTATAGTATGGCAGTGGATCGTTGGCATTTTCCAATGCTAAATGATAAACAGAGAAATCATGCGTTCGACAAAGCGATAAGAAAAAAAATTGCACTTGGATATGATTTGGTACTTGACATTGGTACTGGCACTGGTTTATTAAGTTTATATGCACAAGATGCTGGTGCAGTGAAAATTTTTGCTTGCGAAAGTTCCTCGACAATGTCGGAAATTGCTAGAAATGTATTTCACGAAAATAATGCATCGGCGGTAAAATTAATTTCAAAGATGTCAACGGATTTGAAAATTAAAGAAGATATTCCTGAAAGGTTGGTGTGTTCAATTTTTATTCTTTTACTATGAATTAAAATTTACAATTCTTTTTTCTTTTTAAGGACTCGGAATGTACGACTATTTCGACTTTTTTATAGTTGTATAAAATATGTCGACTTTTTTTTAAATTTTACTTAACAGGCCTCGAATTTCGACTTTTTTTTACTTTTTTTTTTTTACAAAATTTTTAAACAGTTATTTAAAAAAATTTTAACTAAAATTATTCTCTAAATTAATTATTTTAAATAATTTGAATGAAATTCTTTACAAATTTAATTATATTAAACTATTTTCAATTCAATAATATATTATTTTTAAAAAAGGTTATATAAAATTATAAGATAAATTATTTTTAACTTTGTAAAATTTTACAAAGTCTTTTCAAATGCAATTATTTCTAAAAATTTCAACTGTAATTTAACAAACAAACAAATTAACTCTTTAAAAATTCAATTATATTTAATAATTTTTATATTTTTTAAAAAATTCAATTAAAAGTTTCAAACAAAAACTCTAAAATTGAATTGTCAGAAATTTTAAAAAAAAACCAATTGCAGTTTAAATTTAAAGAAAATTTATTTCAAAAAATCTTCTGCAATTCAATTATTTAAAAAAAATTTAATTTAAAAATTCGTAAAACTTAATTATTGTCCGACAATTTTTTAACCATTAAAACTAAAAAGTATTCAAAAATTTTAAATTGGAATAAACTGCTTAAATTAGACTTCAAAAAATTTTTAAAATGGAACTTTAAAAATTTTTTTTAGAAATTTGTTCTACTTAATTAAAATTTAGAAAATTTATTCCAAATAAATTATCTTGATAATATTCTTATTAATGAATTAATACAATGAATTTAATGTCTAATAACATTAGTTAATTAAAGTAAAATATTTATTAACTAATTATTAAATTAATATACGGGCTTTGCCTGTATATTTTCAATAAATAAATAAATTTAATTAAAATAAAAAAATCGACTAAAATGACTTTTTTTGTGCCTTAAAATCCATCCGAGGCCTGTAATTATTCAAAATGAATATTTAATAATAATAATAATAATAATAATAATAATAATAAAAATATATTTACTAAGAATTAAAAATACCATTTTGTAATTTTTGTTTTTTAATGTAAATACGACTGTAGCTAATTTTTCACGACTGAATTTCGATTTAATGCTTGTTGTAAAATTGGGATGCAAAAATCATTAGTTAGAATTTTCATTTTATGCAATTTCATTTGTCAAAATTATTTTTGAGCCCAATTTTTATTTGTTCGAATTAGTATTTTATTGAATTTTCATCGAAACGAATTTTTATTTAACATAATAGGCATTTTAAAGAATTTTTATTGGTTAGAATTTCATTGCAAATTTGTTCGAATTATTATTTAATATAATTTTTATATAACCGATTTATCATACTACAGAATTTTGACTTAACTGAAAAATCATTTAACAGAATTTCTTGATTGAATTTTCATTTGTCCGAAATTACAAATGGCCAAACAAACAATCGACAGAAAGATTTCGGCGCGATTTTTAAATTTAACCAATCACAATTTTATAGATAATTTTTAATTGGTTGATTTTAACAATCGCGCCGAAATCTTTCTGTCCATTGTTTGTTCAGCCATTTACAATTTCGGAAAAATGAAAATTCTATTAATTAGAAATTCTGTTAAATGATTTTTCGGTTAAGTAAAAATTCTCTAGTATGAAAAATCGGTTATTGGGAAATTATATCAAATAATAATTCGAATAAATGAATATTCATCTGAAAGAAAATTCTATGTAATGAAATTCTACCCAATAAAAATTCTTTAAAATGCCTATTATGTTAAATGAAAATTCGAGCAAATAAAAATTCTGACAAATAAAAATTCGAACAAATAAAAATTCTGTAATATAGAAAATCGTTTTGATGAAAATTCTGCAAAATACTAATTCAAACAAATAAAAAATCGGCACAAAAATAATTATGACAAATGAAATTCCATAAAATAAAAATTCTAACTAATAATTTTTAGAACATAATCATGCGTCCCGTAAAATTTTATCCTTTTTCAAATTCGATCATTTTTCTTTTCATTTTACAGAGTAAAATTAATTGTCACTGAGACATTTGACGCAGGTCTTTTTGGTGAACTTGTGGTTCCAACATTAATTGATGCGCACGAGAGACTTTTATCTGATTCCGGTATTGTAATACCATCAAATGCAACTCTCTATGTGGCTGCAATTGAATGTGAATATATTCGATTTCATTCGTCAGTAAGATTTTGTAATGCTCATCATTTTGGTGAATTAAATTTCAAAAAAATATCACTTCTACCAGATGAATCGTATTATGATACGGAAAATTTACAAAATGTCAAAATTTCACACATCACCGAACCACGTGATATTTTACATGTTAATTTCAATGATTTCAATGAATTATCATGTTTCACTGTGGATGGTGTAAAAAATTTAATACAAGTTGAATGTCGTTACGCGGGAATAATTGACGGTCTCGTTGCATGGTTTAAATTACATCTTGATGAAGAAATAACAATAGATTCATCGCAGGGTAAATCGTGTTGGCAAATTGCCGTTTTTCCCTCGATACCCACAAATTGTGAGCAAGGTGATAAAATATTTATATCAGCCGAAATGGCATCAAATAAATTGAGATGTTGCTATAAACGAAATCGTTGCGAGGAAATTGAGGAGGAAATTATTTTTCATGTTAATAAAGAAGTGATTATGTTTTTAAATGATACAAAATATATTTCGTCATTGATACAAGAAGCATTGGAGGAAAATGATGAAATTGAAAGTATATTGGACACATGTCCTTTTCCAATTTATGGATTAACGGTGATGAAAAATAATTCTAATTGTAAAATTTTATATTATCAAAGTGATGATTTAATGTTATGCACATTTATTAATAAAGTTTTCGAGGATAGTCAAATAAAGGGAGAAATTCGATTTATCAACGATTTCAGTAAAATTCGTTCCAAGCTCGATAGAATTTTTATTCATAATTTTGATATTAAGGGAGAATTGAAGGATTGGGGACAGGAAAGATATCACGATTCTTTTAGGTAAAATTGTTTTTTGTTTAATACATTTTATTGTTTATTTTTTTTCTCCAAAATTTCTCTTTTGATATTTGAATTTTTCTAAGCTATTATTTTTAAATTTCATCTTTATTTTTTCGTTTTTAGTTGTTTACTAAATCCAAAAGGAAATTTACTACCGACTAAAATTTTTTTAATGGGACAATTAGTATTTTCCGAGGATTTACCTAAAATGGTTAGAGTTAAAAATTCGAATCTCCAAAGATTTAACGCCAGTTCGGAAAAGGTTATTTACAATTTTTTTTCATTTTTAATAAAAAAAATAGTATTTTAATCAAATATATTTTACAGAATTCTGACGATGATAATTCTTGTGAAAGTAATCCAACACTTTTGGATGAGAGTTCAAATTACAAAATCGCAGAATTTATCAACGAGTACCAGGTAATTTGGTTTCTTTTTTTTCATTTAATAATTTAGTAAAATAAAATTCTAATTCTCAAAAAAATTGTAAAATTTCGTAAAAATTAATCAAAATTTTTTGAACATTTTAATTTTATGAAATTATTCTTTAATTCCTTTTTCAAAAGAATATTTATTTATTTATTTATTTATTTAAGAAACATATAGATAGAATATAATTAAGAATATAATTAATTTAAAAAAAAACAAATTATAAAAATATCTTAATTTTACAGATAAATCAGGTATTTGATTTAAATTCAAGTCTTTATCAGCATGAAGTGGTGTCAGAGGTGAAAACACTTTTGGAAATGGATGAAACTGAAATACGCGAATGTGTTGTAAATTTTGGAAAATTTCAAACTACAAAAAAATTGCCAAACGCTTTGCTAGTTTGGTTTAGAATTCATTTGTCAGAGAATAATGTGTGTGAGACAAAAAGGGACGATTCATTCATGAATCATATGGCAGTGGTAATGGAGGACGAAATTAAAAATTCTGTTCAACTTGACAATGAAGTGATTATTAAAATTCTTCAAATGAGAGATTTAATTCGTATCAGTGTAGGAAGGTAGGACTAATTTATACAAAATTTACAATTTTAATTTGTAAATTTTTTCAATTACAAAAAAAATGTTCTATTTTTTTAAATTACAATTTACAAAAAATGTGTTTTTAATTTTCAATAAAATCATTTATATTTCCGTCAAAAGATTGGAAATTCTAAAAAAATTTTTTTGATTAATTTATTGGAATAATTATTTTTCCTTCCGCAATTTCATAAATTTTATACATCTTCATTTTAATAATGTAATAATTTTTATTTATTTATTTATTTAACAAGGTAAACGGACTTAATAAATTCAAAATGTTTTATATAAAAATTTTAATTTTTAAGCTAAAAATTAATTTCATTCTTTAGGTAAAAATTTTTTTTTTTTGTGTAATAATTAAATTTAATAATTTTATTTTAATAATCTTTTAATTGCTAATGATTTTTAATATATTTAGGTACTCAACAATTTTTTAAATAAATATTTTTATACAAATATTTTTTATTATATTAAGTTAACAAATTTTCAATAGCAACATTGACACTGAAAAATTTATTTACATTTATTTTCAAATAAATCAAAATCCTTTCTAACATGCCTATAGAAATCTTACATATTTTAGCGTTTTAACATGTTTTTGCAATTTTAACCTTAAAAAAGGGTTATTTTGCAATTTTAAGCAATTTTTTTTTGAATTTTTGGATATATACCTATAAAATTACTCTTCTTTTGAAAAGTTACTCAAAAACAATTTCTTTTTACATCCAAACTTTTTTTCCAATTTTTTAATAATTTTTTTTTGCTATTTATTGCTGTTTTTCAAATTTTTGGTTACGAACGTATAATATTGTACCTAATATTTAATTTTAATTGAAATAAATTGTTTTTAACTTAAAAATTTTATCATTTCTTATTTCAAACCTAAACATTTTCTATTGTATTAAGTTAACAAATTTCCAATAGTGACACTGACCTTGGAAAATTTATTTTCACTTATTTTCAAATAAATCAAAATTCTTTGCCGTATGCTTTTAGAAAATCTTACAAATTTTACCGTTTTAACATGTTTTTGCAATTTTAACCCTGAAAAAGGGTTATTTTGCAATTTTAAGCAGTTTTTTTTCGAATTTTTGGATATATACCTATAAAATTACTCTTTTTTTGAAAAGTTACTAAAAAACAATTTTTTACCATTTTTGTAATGGTTTTTTTTTTTGCAATTTACTGTTGTTTCGCTTAATTTAATAAATATAAGAAATTGTCATTAACTATTACATTTTTTCCAAGTGCATTGTGTTTGTTCATTAGAAGCGATATTCTAATTCAAATTTTTATGAATTATTATTTGATAGGTAATAATTTTCATTTTATCCTTCAATAAATTTTAATTTTATAAATACTTTTCTTTTAAATGAAAAATATAGTTTTTTAAAAATAAACTCATCATTTTTAAAATAAACTTAATACTTTTCATTAGAAAAATTTTATTTTCATTAACTTGTAAATTTTATGAAAATTGTTTTTTAAATAAATTAATTTATGTTTAAATTAATCATCTTACATTTCATTTATTAAACTGGGAAAATAAATAACATTCTTTGCTATTTTAGAAAAATAATATTTTTTCTATATTTAAATATTTAAAAAAAAAATTTCGAATATTTACAATTTACTAGGTAGATGATTATCCAGAAAATTGGCAATAATTGTCGCCACTCTTTCTGGATGATTATTATGAACATCGTGATTTCCTTCGACAATAACAAATTTTAATGTTTTAATTTTTTTCAAAAGACCAAGTCCCTCATCTAATCCAGGAATTTTTGGTACCGCATTCACATGAATTGACGTTATTATAAATAGAAAAGGCAATTTAATACGACTATAAAAATTTAAATATTGTTCAAGTGAAAAAAGTGGTCTCAAAGTTATTTTTAATCTTGGATCACGATTATATTTATATTTATCACCAATTTTCGTCACTGCCCTCTCAAATAATGCATCGGCAGCTAAATCATTTAAACAATGCATTCTTTTGTATTTTAGTGCATAAATCACATCATCGTATGAATGAAGTCTCGTCGATGTATCGCGATATATTTCAATGGCATTTTTTTGTATTTCCTGAACACGTTTAAAAAGTTTATCACCACTATAATCAGATGGCAGACCTAAATCGAGTGTTATCATTTTTTTCACACGTCCCGGATATAGTGCCAGGTAAAATGAACCAACTATTCCCCCAAGACTGTGACTGAGATAAATAAATTCTTTCCATCCTAATGATTGAACAATAAGTTCAATACAGAGAACGTAATTAAAAAAATCAAGAGGAACACCCGCGGGAAAATGTGATGATAATCCATGACCCGGTAAATCGATACAAAGGTAATAAAATCTTTTGGGAAGTAGAGGAATAAGTCGATTAAATGAACCGGCATTGTCCAGTATTCCATGAACAAGGAGAATTGGATAATTTTTAGGTGAACCCCAGGCTTTGGCTGCTACATAACCCCATGGAACTGGAAAACGAAGCTCCTCTATTGGAATTTTGTCAGACATTGTAAAGATGTTTTTTTTACTTTTTGTTTTTATTCTGAAACAATTTATTCTAATTTCAACAGCTAGTGGAATAAATTTCGATTTTCATTGCAAGAAAATCGACGAGTCAAAAGTAGTTTTTGAAAAAACAGGAAAAATAGTTTAACCCTTTAAAGTCTTTTTCAATGTAATAAATTATATAGGAGCAATAAATTAATTACAATTTTGATTTCAAAAAATTTTTTAAGATAAAACATTCTTTTAGACAAATTTTATTTCTCTAAGTATCATTTAAAAAAAGTTTTTATGTAACTGAATTTATAGGTCATTGAATTATTATTATTATTTAACAGAATTTCATTTTACATAAATCGTCTTTACTTAACTGTTTATTTAAAAAATTTCTAATTTACCCCAATTTTAATTTATCAGAATTCTTATTCAATTTTAAGTGAGACGATTTTTTAAATGCAAGAATTTTTAATTCAGAAAATTTTAAAATTGACCAATCAGAAATTATAAAAAAATTATCATTTGTCAAATTTAAGATTCACGCGAAATATTTCTGTCGATTGTTTGTTCGAACATTTGCAAATTTGGTCAAATGAAAATTAAAAATTTTATAAAATAAAAATTAGTCAAATTTGCTAAATTAAAATTGGATTAAATTAGAATTTTTTATAATAAACAGTTTGGTAAAATGAAATTCTGTTAAATAATAATAATAATAATAATAATAATAATAATAATAATAATAATAATAATAATAATAAATAATTCAATTACGATATTGTTTTAATGAAAAAAAGTTATAAATGAAAGAAAAAAATGTTGCATTAATTTGTTAATGCAAATATCTCGAAAAATATAAAAAAAAAAATTGAAAATACATCTTAACATATAGTTGAACAAAAATTTGATTTTGTTTTTCTCTGACTTTTCCCTGATTTCCAGATAAAATTTAAATTTTTTCCCTGACTCTGATGAAAAAATTTCAAGAAGTTTTCAATTGTAAAAAATTATGACAATAATTTTTAAAAGGAAAAATTTAAACCAAAATTTTCAAAAATCATAATTTTCGTAGCATTTTTACAGGCCTCAGATCAATTTTAAACTTTACTTTAGAAGGTCAAAAAATGTGTAAATTTCAGGAATTTTTTTTCTCAAACACATTGAAATAAATTGATGTGAGATTTTGTGGATGTTTTCTTAAATATTTAAGCCTTTGAAATATAATTTTTTCATTAAAAAAAAAATAAAATAAAATAAATGTGATATATATAACGCCTCGCCTTTCTATAAAGTAGACCCCCCCCCCCCTTAAGGCATTAAAAAGTCGTTTTAATCAATTTGCATTAGAAGAAAAGTAAAAGGAAAATCGAATTTTTAATTTTTATTAAATTTAATCACAAACATTTCATTATTATTAACTATTGTTATTTTTAGTATATATTAAACACATTTTATTAATTCTTAAATAAGAATAATTCTCACTAAGATTTTTTAGAATTTAGAATATTTCAAAATTAAACGAAAACAAATTGTCAAAATTTCTAAGAAAAATTTAATTTACATTTTTTTAAAAAATAGTGGAAAGCTGATAAATAAATTATTTAAATTTAAAAAATCAGATCCTCAATTCAAAAAAGTATTAAATAATTAAGTTTTGAAGATTTAAGATTTTGAAAAATAATTGAATTTCTGAAGATTATAAATTTAAATTTTTGTAAATTTATATTCAAAATTATTAATATCTCTCAAAAAGTACATAATTAAATTGTAAAGAATTTTTAATTGAAAAATGTTTTAATAAATAATTAAAATTTTTAAAAAACTTGATTAATGAAAATAATTTAGATAATTGTAAGAATTTTAGAAATAATTGAATTTTGAAAATTTTTTTCATTGAAATTTTTGTAAATTGTTTTGTTCAAAAATTAAAAATCTTGCAATTCGAGGCCTGTTTTTAGAAATTCGAAAACTTTTCAGTACTTTTAATAAAATTCTATGACTTTTCCCTGATTTCCCTGACCTGTGGCAATTCTGTTGATACGGCTTTCATCTGGACTTTTATTTTATTTATTTATCTAACAAACTAACGAGAATAACTTTAATAAATTTAAACAAATTTTTTTAAAATAATTTCTTTGGAGAAAAACGAAATAAAATATTTTTGTTTTAACTTTTAATATTTAAGTTTCACTTCTATTTTTATCTTATCAATAATTTTATTGTTGTAAATAAAGCTACTTTTTATTTTTATACAATTTAAAAAACCTGTTTTCAAGAACAAATTTCAAGGTTAAAATACAAGTAGTTTTGTAAAACAGAACATAACTGTTTCATTATCTTTTGTTTTTTTGTAATTGAACGTATTAATTATTAATAATTTTTGTAATGAAAAGGCCTAAGTACAGTTTTTTTTGGATATATATTTTTTATTAGAAATCCCAACTAGTTTCGAACGTTATATTTTGTTTCATTATCAATTAAAAACATTTTTTAAATAGAATTAACTTCAGTTTTACAAAACTTGCACTATTTTAACTTAAAAATTCGATATTGAAAAAACAGATTTTTTCAAATTGAATAAAAATAAAAAATAATTCGTCCACCAAATGACAATCTTTAATAAATTATTATAAATATATTACATGTATGTAGTAATTGTTATTTTAATATTAAAACAATAACTAATAATTTAATTCATTAAGTTATTCAGGACGTTGAAGGGTTAAAAATATTTTTGTAATTTTTAGAAAAATATTGAAATTATTTTGAAAATCTGCAATTAATAATTTAATATATTTAATTAAAAAATTTGTAAAAGGTTATAATTACCGGTTTATGTGGATTTTTAAATAAACAACAATATTTCAACGTGTAAAATTACTTAGAAACTTTTTAATAATAAGATATTATTATGCTTTTTGTTTCTCCACTTTTGTAAGAATTTTGATTAATCATGCTGATTAGCATGATTTCATCCAGAGAAAAAAATGAGCTCTGAACCTTAGAAAAATGATTATGTCCAAAGGTTTGCGACAAACAGAGAAGGAATTGGAAATAATTACTAACTACTATTTCTGCACTTGATTAATCTGATCGTATCTGTTTGTGTTTGTTTAATAACGCAAGGATGGGTTATAAGACTCTGTTCGCTAATTATAAAACGTAATTTACATTGTCTATGTATTATTCGTAAGAATAGTTAGATTACGTTTATTGCAGGCACCACAGTTCTGCCAACTATCGTAATAGAGCGGGCTCATTTGAAATAATAATCTCATTGCCATAAGAGAATTGTCTTATTTTGGCACAAATTTCAAAAGATCAAATTCCATCAAAATCGAATAATCATTTTACCGAATTGTTAAATGTTCAAATAAACAAAATATCGAATTTTGAAAAGTTCGAATTACTAAAAGAACGAATTACAAAAACATCGAATTTTTAGAAATTTGAATTATTAAAAGTTTGAATTTTAAAAAGATAGAATTGTTAAAAATTTGAAAATTCGATCAAATAAATATTCTAAACTTTTAGAAATTCGATATTTTGGTTATTCGAACTTTTAAAAATTCGATATTTCGATAAAATTGCTATTCGACTTTATGAAATTCGAGGCCAAAATAATGGCGCACTCACACCTTTTTTGGCTGCCTGCCTGCCTGCAGGTTACCATGGCAACGCACGAGTGTGAGTGAGACAGAAAATTTGAATATTCAAATTTTTAAATTTTCTGTCGCACTCACTCTCATGCGTTGCCATGGTAACCTGCAGGCAGCCAAAAAGGTGTGAGAGCGCCTTAAGGTGACTCGGCGGTAAATTCAAAAATTAAATGAATCAACCTACACTAGAGTCTCCGAAGAGAGGACAGGAAGAGCCTTGGACCTCTCTACGGAATTCGTCCTTGACGCCGAAAATTGTAAACACTCCAGGGCCGTATATCGTATCACAGAGATGTGTTTTTTTAACAGAATACATTCTATTACATATCTAAAATACTACGCGAGGAAGGTACACTAAAAACAAACGCTCCTGAGTTCACGTTCCTCTTTCTGATCCCGCCCATCTCTTCCCCCCTCACTCCTTACCGCGCCGCGTCACTACTTAGTCCTCTCTTCAGAAGTCCTCTCTTGGGAGACTCCAGTGTATTGAAAATTTGCAATTTTGCGTCAATTTATTACAGTGCATTACGTTGTTTAAGGAAAGTTACGTAAAAAACCATACACCTGTAAGCAACTTCACAACCCTGATTTGGCCTCGTACATCATGTGTTGTTTTTCGTTTATTTACACTTTTTTCCAAACGAAAATAATATACAAAATAATATTAAAAATTGAGAAATGATAAAAATATTACAAGAAAATAAAAATGAAATACACTGCCGCACGATAAAATGACTTCCAGTACATAAAATTAGAGATTGAATGTACTAAATATTCATATAAATGAAAAATTCTTGAAAATTGTTTATAAACATTCTTTAAAATACGTAGGTATGTAAATTGTATTTTTAAAATATATATAATAAATTATATTAAACTGCACGTATAAAAATTGCCAAAAAACTTAAAAAATTTTTTTTCAAATTGACTTTGGCGGGAAATTCAAATTTTAAAAATGTTCCAATTTTGAAATTTCTTAAAATGATTTACGTAAGATACGTACATATTTGCAATAACAGTATTGTTTAACTATAATCGGTGATACCAACTTAAATAAAAATTAGTTAACTTTGTTTAAATGGTTGTAATTTTAAATATTACCTTTTTTTATTGCAATTGTTATCAGCATTTTATCACTAAAACCAGGTGTCAAAATACTGGAGTGTGTATTATATAAAGAATTTGGAATTGTAAATGAAGACACAGACTTTTTATATTGCTTTGAGTTAAGATAAATAAAATTTCGTACAATTAACATTTTTAATAAAAAAAAAAAGTGAAATTATTTGAAATCATATAATTTACACCTAGAGTATTTTTATTAAAAAAATTTAATTTAACAGTGTAATAAATAATTAAATATTTTTCTTCATATTAAACAATAGTTATTAAAAAAAAAAAAATTTGAAAGCAAAGTGACTCATTTTTTTTTACTTATATCGAATTTTTTCACGTAAAAAAAGAAGTTGACATAAACCGCCTTTTTTCCTCAAATGACAAAAGTTACACATATACTTTTGGAGCTTATTTTATCAAGATATAAACGATAAAAGGATTATTTTAATAATGTCTACAGTGTTTTATTATCTGTTAAAAATTGTTGCAAATTAAAATCACACAATTATTTCTTAAATTGTCGTTAATACCTGTGAAAATAACTGAGAAAGTTAATAATTGTCATTGTAAGTGAAAGAAAATTATAAATAATCTTTAATAATTAATTTAGAAAAATTATGAAAATTTTTTTTTTATAATTTAAATTCAAAAATTATTTTTTTCATCTATACACGGAAAAAAATCTTTATCTGGAACAGCTTTATATGTTTCTCTAGAATAGAAAAAACTTTCACTGTTTTAGTGAAACATATCGCTGTTCCAGTGAAACTTATCACTGTTTCAGTAATAGATTTTTTTTCCGTGTAGAATTTAAAATAAAAGTTTAAATCAATATTATCATTTTTAATATCTTAATTGTTTATTTAATTATTTTTTTTAAATTATTTAACGCGAATTGAATTTTTTTACATTTTAATATTAATTTAATGTGTTATTTTGTTAATTGTCACGCAACCTGAAAAAACGGACCTTAGAAGCAAAAAAATTATAGATTATGTTTATGACAGTTTTACTTGAATTAAAAAGTTTATTTTTGTTTTTGTAAAACTACAAACAGTTTTTATTGAATTATTTTGGTTGTAATGAAGAACCAAATATCATTAATTTGCATTACGAGTTCAACGTCTTTATGTATTTTCACTTAAAAATTTCAAAACATAACCTATAATTTTTTGCTTTTAAGGTCCCATTCTTCAGATAGTGTCATAATTGTTGAAAAGAAAAGAAAATGTTTACAATTTAATAAATTTAAACAGTCTTCTCTTTGTGTCAAAAAAAAATATTTTTTTCTCCTCAAAATAAAAAAGAATTTAAAAGAAAATATGATAAATATTTTTTGTTTGTAAAAAATGGAAAATTAATTTTAAAAAAATAAAATTTGTGTTATTAACATATTATTTCAGTAAATTTTAATATGTGCCCAGATAGCACGTAAGCTTGCAGCAACCTTGCGCGCAATATTGCCAACCTTGCACGGCAAGCTTGCGGCAAGTTTGCATGCTAAGCTAACCGAAAGATTGCAGTGTAAAATTACTGCAAGATTGCGGTGTAAGGTTACTGCAAGATTGCACAATAAGATTATCGCAAGATTGCTCAGTAAGCTTGCACGGTTAGCTTGTAGCAAAGTTGGTGCAAGGTTTCCAAATAACCTTACTTTGAACCTAAAAATTTTTTTTTAATTTTTCGTCTAATTTATATATTTTTATTATATAAATTTTATTATATAAATTAAACGAAACATTTTTTTTTTTAAATTTTTTTAGTTTCAAAGTAAGGTCTTTTGGAAATCTTGCACCAACCTTGCTACAAGCTTACCGTGCAAGCTTACTGAGTAACCTTACACCGCAATCTTGCAGTAAACTTACCATGCAAGCTTGGGTCAGGTGGGACATTTGAAGCTTGCAGTAAGCTTGTGGCAAGTTTGCCGTGCAAGGTTGGCAATATTGCGCGGCAAGCTTGTCGCAAGGTTGCTGCAAGCTTACATGCTATCTGGGTGAAAATAAAAAAATTATGAAATAAAAATTCCTTTTTTTTTAATTTAATAATTTATAATATGAGTAATTACTTACATTGATAATTAACTGCAAAATTATTATCTATAATAATATTAATAGATATAATAATATTAAATATTAAAAAAAATAAAGTTTATACAGGTAAGTAATTTTTTTTCCACAATAATATAAGTTCTATTTTGCTACAATGTTTAAAATTAGATAAAAATTATATTTTTACACAAAATAAATTGTCAACTTTTTTGATTTCTCATTTCGCTTAAGCTATCGTTACTGAAATCATTCAACCTTGATGGAGTGTAAAGTAGTTCTCATAAATAAATATTTCGTACTTTACCACTTTACTGAAATGATTATAAATTATCAACAACAAAAAAACTTTTTTTTTTCAGCACTTTCGTGAGCATGGACTGTAAGAAAAATCAAGAACAAAAAAAAAATCCTTTGGAAAATGGCAATGTTTTTGCTTTTTTGTGCTTTTCGTAAGTGAGGTTTTAATATATTATATTTATTAATCTATAAAAAACGGTTTTAAATTATTAAATTACTATATTCGTTTTTCAATTTTATTATTTTTTCTTAATTTTAAAAATCAGTTTTATTATTTATTATTAAAAATCTCTATATATAATTACAAATTATAATATTTTATAACTTTAACATTTCTTTAAAAAGTGACTCTTCGTTTTTAATACATTACATCGAGAGAAATGTTTTATTTGAACCAAATATAATATATTTGAGTTAAATAAACGTATATTTGTCTCACAGCCTACTAGCCTATTTATTTGGTGTAAATAAATTTTTTTATTTAAATCGAATAAAAATTTATTCGAATCAAATAAATATTTATTAGAATCTGAGACAAATATAACATTTCTCTGTGTGTACTATAAATAGAAATATAAAAAAAATCATTAATTCGAATTCTGTGTTTTTTAAATTTTATAATCTCAAAAATTAAAAACAATAAATTGTAAAATGAAATTGAATCATATTTTCATAATTTTATCAATAGATATAAAATATCGTTTTTATGTACAAAAAAAAATATATTCTTTTGTTCCAAAAGATATTGAATAAAAAATAACTTTCATTTATGTATTATCATTTCAATAAAATTTTACGTTTCTTTATAGATGGATATTTAAGATATTTCGCACGGGTTATAAAAAAGAATTAGAATTGAACGATATCTACAATTGCTTAGACGAGGACAATAGTCAAACTTTGGGAAATTTAATATACAAAGTTTGGAAAGCGGAGAATGAGAAATACAATTCAAAAAATATACATAATTGCAGTTTAACAAAAGTTTTGGCAAAATGTTTTTGGAAGAAAATAATCTTGATAGGTATGTGGCAAGCATTTGACGCCCTTATTCTCAGGTGAGTTCTCTTTATATTTTTTCATATTTTAATATTTCCATAGTGAACTTGAAAAAAATAAATAAATTTTTTTTACAAAACTTATGAAATTTTTATTTTTAATTCTCTTTTGAGTTAAATATACACGGAAAAAAAGGAAAAATATCAAAATTAGTAACCACAGCTAAATTTTTTGCTATGACAACGAAAAAGTTTGCTATGATAAACAATCAGTCTTAATTTTTAAAAATTTACTGTCACAGCAAACTTTTTTGATCCTACAGCAAATTTGTTTGCTATCCCTATATTAGCTAACATAATTTGATGTAACAGCAAATAATTTGCTGCGCCACAGCAAATTTTTTCTTTGCGTGTAAAATTAATTCTAAGGCAGTTATCAATAATAATTAATTAAGAGGCTGTACTTAATTTTTTGTTTAATTATGTATTAATTTATTAATCATTAAAAATTTTTCCCCTGCTAGTAAAATATTTGACAAAGAAAATTATTTTTCAATTATTGAAAATCAAAACTAAAAATAAAATTAATTTCAGAATTCTTCAAGTTCTATTATTTGCAAAGGTATTAAATTACTTCAATAGTAAAAGTCATATGTCGACAACGGAAGCTTTTTACTGGGCTTCCGGCTTTGCTTTGACATTAATTGTATGTGTATTTGTCTATCAACTTTCAATACAAGCAACGACACATGTAGAATTAAAATTAAGAGTCTCGTGTTCATCTCTTGTCTATAGAAAATGTTTAAAATTGTCGAAAGCATACACGGAAAATCAAGAAACAACAGTAGGTCAGGTAAGACGCTAAAAAAAAGAATATTTGACAAAAAAAAAAAATTTCGTTTTATCGACAGTAGAAGAGGGTGGTATTTATTTTACCAATAAACAGAAAGAGTACTCTAATACATTGACAATAATTTCAGACATATATGAGAATCTTTGGATAACAAAGAATTTTCCGATACGGCAGAATTTAAACTTATTAACAGTTGGTTAATATTAAACCTCCATGAAGTTGGCGTCGACGCTCAGCGCCGAAATTTGTTTTTCACAGGACCAAAAATGTAAAATTATTTTTAAAAATAATTTTTGGTTCAAATAATGCCTTCAGAAATACTTTTCAAAGTATTATTTTGACCCAAAACCTTTTTAAAAATGAGATTTCATACTTTTGGTCCCATGAAAAATAATTTTCGACGCTGAGCATCGGCGCCAACTTCATGGAGGTAATATTAATTCAAGCGAATATTTCAAAACATTTCAAAATTTTATTTCTTCGAATTATTATTTTGCAGAATTTTCATTAAATCAATTTTCTATATATTACAGAATTTTTATATATATAACCGAAAATTCACTTCACAGAATTTTTATTTATTCGACTTTTTATTTACTCCAATTTTCATTGCATAGAATTTTCTTTTAGATGAATTTTTATTTTGTTCAAATTATTATTTGATAGAATTTCCATATAACTGATTTTTCATACTACAAAATTTACACTTAACCGAAAAATCATTTAACAAAATTTCTAATTAATAGAATTTTCATTTGTCCGAAATTGCAAATGTCCGAACAAACAATCGCGCCGAAATCGATTGTTTGTTCGGTCATTTGAAATTTCGGACAAATGAAAATTTCATCAATTATAAATTCTGTCAAATGATTTTTCGATTAAGTACAAACTCTGTAGTATGAAAAATCGGTTATATGGAAATTCTATTATCTATAAAAATTCTATGTAGGGGTCACGAGTACAGTGACCGACACCCTCCACATACTTTCAACTTTAAATGACATTTTATCGGAATTTATTAAAGATTTAGTTATAAAATAAATTTCAAATAAAAGATTTGGGTTAAAATTTATACTACATAAGTTTAAAATCAAAAAACACTTTGATAAGAGTTTATAATATTAATTTAAAAATGTATGGTTTGAAAACAGTGAAAAAAAAATATTTAAACTACTATTTAAGTAACATGATATTTATTAATATTATCACAAATTTTATTATTCAGATTTAATGTACAAAAAAAAATTACTTTTAAAATATAATTATTTAACAATTTCTTCATATTTATAAAATTTGTAATTAATAAAGCAAATTTTTTGAGGTTAGTTTTCTAGAAAGTAAAATATTGATGAAAATATAAACTTATAAAATTTTCTGTCAGCTGTATCAATTTCTAAATATTGTATATTAATTAATTTACTAGTGATATTTCATTCAATATTATTATTTTTATAGTTATTATCGTTTTTAATAGCAGGTGTCGTTCACTGCAACTTTTACCCTAAAGAAAATTGGTTTAATAAAAATTCTGCAAAATAATAATTCGAACAAATAAAATTCGGCTCAATGAAAATTATGTCAAATGAAATTCATATTAAATGAAAATTCTAACAATTAATTTTTAGAATTTTAAATTTTCGAGATAAACTCTCGAGAATAGCAGGAGAATTAATTGATTAAAATAAATTCAATTATTATTTATTAATTTATTGAAAAATTGTAAAAATTAAATAAAAAACCGTCTAATTATTATTTTTACTTTAATTTTACTGTATAAATCAAATAAACAAAAATGATTTTAGATAATCAACATTTTTAGCAATGATATTAATAATTTTGAAGCTGGATTATTTGGCTTTCATTATATATGGATTGCACCGATACAATTGATAATCATAACAATAATTATTTATCAAGAGATGTGCTTCTATAGTTTTTTGGGAACATTTATTATTTTCTCACTTATTCCACTACAAGGTAATAAAAAAATGACATAAAATTTTATATATTAAAAAAAAAAATCGAAAAAGTATCATTTAATTTTCTTTTTTTTTTAATTATTATTAAAATTTGCGTACGTGGAAAATGAAGAAAAAATATAATGTCGAGAAATGAAATTACAGAAATTACAAAAGAAAAAAAATAATTACAGCCTACATTGGAAAGTCGATAAAAATTTTGACAAATAAAGTTTCATTAAGAACGGACAAGAGACTTTCGTTATTGGATGAAATAATTGGTGGGGTAAAAGTAATTAAAATGTATGCCTGGGAGAAACCATTTTCGCGACTTGTGGATAAAGCAAGAAAGTAAGATTTTTAAGACACATATATATTTCATACCATATTCATTAAATTCCCAAATAATAATAATAAAACTAGTATTTAATTTATTACATATTTGTTATTAATTACAATTTTTAATTATGAAAAAAATTTTATTATTTAATTAATTTTCAAACTCTCTAAATCTGAATTAGTAAAAATGTTTACTAATTTGAATTAGTGACTTACTTTTTGCTTCTGAATTAGTTAAATTTTACTAATTGTTAGTAAAAGTTACTAATAATTAGTAAAATTTTACTAATTCAGAAGCAAGAAGTGAGTCACTAATTCAAATTAGTAAACATTTTTACTAATTCAGATTTAGAGAGTATTAATTATTTAATTAATATAAAGTTTTGTTAATTAGTATTTTGTAGAATTAACGAACATAATAATTGTTACAGAAAAGAAGTTAACATTATCAGAAAAATAGCATTTTGTAATGCTTTCACAATGGCTTGGGACAATTGTGTCTCTCAATTTTGTGTCTTTGTTATTATCTTTTTTTACGTTTTATTTGAAAATAAAATCACAGCGGAACAGATCTACACAATAATAGCATTTTATAATATTGTAAGGACTTCTGTATTTGTCCTCATGTCACATGGTAACTTTTTTCAATAATAATAATTATAATAATAATAATAATAATAATAATAATAATAATAATAATAATAATAATAATAATAATAATATATGTAACACGCTTTGAAGAAAGGGACCTAAGAAGCAAACCAATTTTAGGTTATTTTTATTTTAATTTATACGTCTCAAAATTTGAAAAATAATTATTTAAAATGCAACATCACTTAACTAATAAATAATAATAACAAATATTTGTTAGAAATAAATTTTAAAAATAATATAAAATATTTAAGGTGTGCAACGTTTAGCAAAAAATCTCGTGACAATTAATCGTATCGAGGAGTTTATGCGTCGCGATGAAGTAATAAATCAATTAATAGATATCAAAAATATTGAGAAGCAATCACATGAAAATATTGCAGTGAAAATAGAGAAAACATCAGCAAAATGGTCTCAACAGATGAAGAGAGACACACTTCATAATGTAAATTTTATCGCTGAACGTGGAACACTTTCTGCAATTATAGGACAAGTGGGCTCTGGTAAAAGTAGTTTACTTCATCTTATTGTTAATGAACTTCCCTCAATAAGTGGCACTATTCAAGTGTCTGGAAAAATTGTCTATGCAAGTCAAGAGCCATGGATATTTGCATCTTCGATAAGGCAAAATATTATTTTTGGACTTTCAATGAATAAAAAACGTTATCAGGAAGTGATTCGTGTTTGTCAATTGGAGGAGGATTTTGTTAAATTTCCATTTGGTGACAAGACACTTATTGGTGATAGAGGAACAACATTGAGTGGAGGACAAAAAGCAAGAATTAATTTAGCACGAGCAATTTATGTGGATGCTGATATTTATCTTTTGGATGATCCATTGTCGGCTGTTGATTCTCATGTGGGTAAAAAGATATTTGAAAATTGTATTTGTGGATTTTTAAGGAATAAAACAAGAATTTTGGTGACACATCAGCTACAATATCTAAAAGACGTTGATCGAATTTTTATTTTAAACAACGGTATTATCCAAATAAATGGAACATTCAATGATTTACAAGCATCAAATTTAGATTTATTAAAAATATTACCGTTTATAAATGACAATGAGAATGTGAAATTTGAAATGATTGATAAAGAAGAACATCGTCCATTGTCATGGAAAGATTCTGTGGAGGATTTACAGGAAGAAATTCCAGAACATCGAATTGTTGGCAGAACATCGGGAAGAGTTTATTTTTATTATTTTAAAGCTGTTGGAAGTGTTTGGATTATTTTTCTAGCTCTATTTCTTGGTATTTTTTGTCAAATCGTCACTACCTATGGAGATATTTTTCTCGCTAATTGGATTAATCGTGAGGATCATAGAAGAAGTAACAGTGACATTTCAACGAATAATGATGATAATATGTCGAGTTTACAAATGTATGGTTTATTAATAATTGCGTCAATGGCTCTGACGAATGCATTTTTCCTCATTTTGTGCGAGATGTGCATGAGATCATCAGGCAATTTGCATTCATCAATGTTTTACAGTCTCATGCGTACAACAATGTCCTTCTTTCAAGAGAATCCATCCGGAAGAATTTTGAATCGGTAATTTTATATTTCTTTTCAAATCTACTTTTTTAATTTTATTTATTCTTCAAAGGTAATTTTATAAACATAAATTAGAATAATTGTTTAATTATATAATTTTAATCAAATTCTATAATAGATTCTCGAAAGACATTAGAGCAGTTGACAAAGATCTGTTACAAGTTCTACAGGATGTATCTCAAAGTATTTTACTCTTAGTGGCAATTGTACTTATCACAAGTATTATAAATCCATGGCTACTGGTACCGACATCAATAGTTGCTGTTATTTTTTATTTTCTAAGAATCATCTACATAAGAACAAATCGCAGCTTAAAACGTTTGGAAGCAATAAGTGAGTAGCGATAAATTTGATAAAAACTTGAATATACACGTTTGTTAAAATTTCCAAATTGTATTTGGATTTAATCCAGAGAGATTAATTTGAAAATGATAGGCATTAGCCCAGACTAAAGGATAAATCCGAAATCAGTGCGGAATTTATATGTTATCAATTGGCAATTAATGTGCAACAATCTGAATTTATTTCGAACAAAGAACTTAATCAGAAATAAGTCCAGAACAATCCGGAATTTTTATATTTAGACAATCCGCAAACATTACGCAACAATCTGATTTTAGTTTTATCAAAGAACGTAATCCAAAATTAGTCCGCAATAATCAGAAATCTTTGTGGAAAAAATTCGGTATTAGTCTGAATAAATCCGGATTTAGTAAGTCAAAAATATTAATCCAAAGTCTGTGATTATTTATTCCAGACTGTTGCGTACTAAATAAAGATTTTGTACTCCTTTCGGATTCAGATTTTTGTGTGAACTGACAGCTGATTTTGAAAATATTAATTCTGTACTATTCCAGAGCCATTTTGGATTAAGTTTTTGATTGAACTAAATTCGGATTGTTGAAAACTGATTTCATAGACATTTCGAACTGATCTCAGAGTTCGATTCATACAATACAATCATCAGGATCCAGTCTACTCAAAAATGAGTCTGGAATAATTTGATACTTTGCATGTATAAGAAATCACCAAAATTAGTTTGGTTAAGTCTAAAATTAGTCTGATTTGTGTGACTAGTAAATCTGAAAGTAGTTTGGTCTAATCCAAAATCTGTTTGATTATACACAACTAGTGATGCCAAATCAAATTTAAGTAATCAATAAACCCGTAATCTGCATTCACTAGTTGGATTTGATCATACAGACTTCGGATTAAACTGAACTAATTGCAGATTCACTAGTATTAATCGGACTGCTTTGCACTAATTTAAAATTAGTTTGAAATATATCCGAAATTTTAACAAGAGATCTTTAGTTTAAATACTTTTCAAAAATCAATTCTTGTAATCAACAATTTTAGTTTTTTTAGCTTTTCATTATTTTTTTTCTTAGAACCTACAATTAGTCTCAGAGCGAACCTATGATTATTCATAAAATTTCCTGTTATTTTTAAAATTCGATAAAACACAAAAGTCTCCTAAACAAGTTACAAGTCAATACCATAGAATTGTTTAATATTTTTAACATTTTTTAGAGTTGGTATTTGCATTTAGTATTATAAAATCATAAATTCAGAACAAAATGAAAATTACGATGTAACCTCTCATTTATTTCAACAAAAACATTTCAGCAAAGTTTGAAACAAATGCTTCCAACTTCTGTTTGTCTTATGTGAAAATAGTCCGAGTTTGTCTCAACAGAATTCGATTTCTGCGGTTTGGGATTGAAAAGGGTCAAACTAAATAAATATCAAAGCAAATAAAAGCAACTATGAACAATTTAATTCAACGTTTTTTCAATACCACACTGTTATAATAACCTAAATATTAACTAATACTGATGACTCATAAATACACCTATAGAAAACACTTATCAATTATTCCCAATTCATATCTAAATAAAATAAATTTCTCTGTGCAGATCGATCGCCAATTTACAATCACATTAGCGCCACTCTCAAAGGACTAATAACAATTAGAGCATTTAGAGCAGAGCAAAAGCTAATCGATGAATTCGACAACTATCAAGATCTACATACTTCGCCGTGGTATCTTTTTTTCTCGAGTATAACATGTTTCACCATTTACTTACAATTCATTTGCTCGCTCTACATAATTATCATTGTCTTCGCATTTGTCACCGTCAAAGAAAACGTACCCGTGGGAAATGCAGGTCTGGTAATAACCCAATGTGTCTTACTTGCCAGTATGCTTCAATGGGGTTTGAAGCAAACAACAGAAATAGAAACATTAATGACGTCAGTCGAAAGAATTATGGAGTACAGTGATTTAGAGCAAGAGGCATCGTTGGAAACAAAAACTGAGAGTAAACCACCTATTAATTGGCCACAGGATGGTAGAGTGGAATTTAAAAATGTTTCATTAAGTTATCATCCATCGGGTGCGCCAGTTTTGAGAAATATTAATTTTCAAGTGGCTTCAAGAGAGAAAATTGGTATTGTAGGTAGAACGGGAGCTGGAAAGAGTTCCCTGACAAGTGCACTTTTTCGCTTATCATATTTAACGGGAGAAATTTATATTGATGGTATTGCTACAAGTGATTTGGGTCTGCACGATGTTAGATCAAACATTAGCATTATTCCACAGGAGCCATTACTTTTTACCGGTACTCTTAGAAGTAATTTGGATCCCTTTGAAAATTATTCTGATGATGAACTTTGGCAGGCTTTGGATGAAGTGGAACTTAAGGAATTTATCAAAAGTTCGAATGCTGGACTTGATGCTAAGGTTTCAGATGGAGGGGCTAATTATAGTATTGGTCAACGACAACTTCTTTGTTTGGCACGTGCCATTGTGAGAAAGAAAAAAATTCTTATCCTCGATGAAGCTACTGCAAATGTGGATTTTCAGACTGATGAACTTATACAAAAAACCGTTAGGAGACGATTTAAGGATTGTACTGTATTTATTATTGCTCATAGATTGAATACTGTTATGGACTGTGATAAATTCATTGTTATGGATTCTGGACTTATGGTCGTGAGTTGGAATATTTTTTTAACGGATTATTATTTAAGGGTTTTGAATTTTTAAGAGTACGAAAAGTTTTACATATGGATGAAATCTTTTTCTAGGAATTTGGTCATCCTTGGGAACTTTTGAAGAAGAGAGGATACTTGTACGAAATGGTACAACAAACTGGACCTGACATGGCTCAAGTTCTTATGAAAATGACAAAAAATGTATAGTATTGTAAATCTGCAATTTTTTCTTTGAATGGAATTGTATTTCCGAAGTATTTTTTAGGGCTAAACACAAATCTCGAGTCAAAATTTTCATACGTTTTTGAGAAAAGGGGGTGTGGAAACCACAAAAAATTCGTTTTTTTATTTTTAGAGCAGCAGTAACAAATGTAATTACTATGTTCATAAATTTAATTAATAAGTCAATAATATCAATTTTTTTATGAAATTATAAACACTGTGATAAACATCTTGTTAAAATTGAAATTTAATAAACAAATATTTCAAAAGAGATTATAATAATTATTCATAAACAAAAAAAATAAAGATTCATAAAATTAATGATAAATTTTCAAATTAATTTTATGTATAGAATTCATTTTTATACCTATTAAAAAGTTTGCGTTTACACTCTCATTTAATAATTTCTATGGGTCAGTGATCTTACTTCCCATTATCATGATATCCCCGTATATAGAAAAACAGTGGCGCATGCTCTAAAAAATTTCTAGGCTGAAAATAGTGCGTTTACCTATAAAATTAAATGGATGAACTCTGAGAAAAGAGAGAAAGAAAAAGAAATCTTTTCTTCTTCTCCTGGGAGTTCTCGTTTTGATATTAAAGGCAAAAGGTTCACAGGCAATTTTAAAATAAATTTACTTTGCTCTTGACTTGAGTTAAATTCAAATACAAGTGCAATGAAATTTTTATATTGAAATCCATTACTGGGAGTTGAATGATTTCAAATTACGTGTAACTTCGCAAAAAAAAAAAAAAAAAAAAAAAAAAAAAAAAAAGAAAGAAATTAATTTCTAATGAATAAAAGTAAAAAGATTAAAAAAAAATTAATTATGCTAAAAAAGGCTATTTTTGTGAAGTTTTTTGGCAAGTTTTTAATTATAAATATTGATATATAAGGTGTTGCACTTAATAGACACACTCTAGAAGTATATAAAAAAATGGTTTCATTTTTTTGATTTTTTACTTATAAAAATGATGGTTGAAAAAAAGTCAACAAAAGGGGTCTGCGCTATTGATAAAATCTTTGAACTGTCAAGTCAGAAACAAAAAAATCAAACGGCATTAGATTTAGGGGACGAATGATTATGTTCTAAAAATCATTAGTTAGAATTTAACATTTAACATATTAGGCATTTTAAAGAATTTTTATTGGGTAGAATTTATCTGGTAGAATACTTCAGAATTTTTACTTAACCAAAAAATCATTTAACAGAATTTCTTATTGGTAGAATTTTTATTTGTCCAAAGTTGATAATAACCAAACAATCGACAGAAAGATTTCGGCGCGATTTTTAAAATCAACCAATCAAAAATTATCCATAAATTTGTGATTGGTTGATTTTAAAAACCGCGCCGAGAAAACTTGCATGGCAAGCTTGCTGCAACCTTCTGTGCTGATTGGCAAGGTTATTTGGCAACCTTGCACCAATCTTGCGACAAGCTTACCGTGCAAGCTTACGGAGCAATCTTGCGATAATCTTACTGTGCAATCTTGCAGTAACCTTTCACTGCGATCTTTCGGCAAGCTTACCATGCAAGCTAGGGTTAGGTGGGACATTTGAAGCTTGCGGCAAACTTGCCATGCAAGGTTGGTAATATTGCGCGGCAAGCTTGCCACAAGGTTGCTGCAAGCTTACGTGCTATCTGGGTTAGCTAATTAGCGGACCATCATTCTCGAGTAGCAAATTATTCAAAAAAAGGATAGTTAGAGTGCTTCGATCTTTATAAAATTTTTGTAAGATATTTTCTACAAATGTAAACTTTGAAAAAATAAAATAAAAAAAAAAATTGATTTTTTTGGAAATTCTAAATGTAGTAAGACCCCTTAAGATTTTTCATTCTATTTTATAATGCCGGTGGTTTTGTTCTAAGTCAAGGCAATAATATACAAAGAAATAAATATCAAGATTTCTATGCGCGCAAAATCTTGATATTTTTTTCTATTTCAATTGGGCAAAGATATTGAATCATAGATAGTGAAAAATAGATATACAGAAGTAATAATCTGCGTAGGATCAAAGACAATTTGCATTTCTCAATGACCTTGAAAAAGTTTTCCGTTTTCTTTCTTTTTAACTGGCTTTTCAATTTTTTTTTCTTTTTTTTCATATATTTATATTTTACATAGACTTTGTTATTAGAAACTTCATTAAAAGGACTTGTATTTTCATAGACGCAAAAGGGTAATTAAGAGAGAAATAAATACATGTTTTTATAAATATGAATAAATAAAAATAACAATGATACAATTTGACTGGAAAAATGATATAAATTTTTTTTCTAAATTACACGTCATAGTATAATATTTTTAAAAAAGTAATAAAAAATTTTTTTTTTCTTTTTTCGGATATATATATATATACTATTTCTCTCGCATGTCCACACAAGTGCGCCCAGTACTTATGCAGAGTTAAAATAAATGTAAAGAGACAGTTCAATTTCGTTACGGATTTCCATGAATTTTATTGATGCGTATTTTTAGTTCTCATGAATATGTAACCGTGGAAGGGAAGAAAAAAAATCTGTCATTCTTTTTTTTTCCCCGCGCATTTTTAAGCCATGAATTGAGAAAGTCGAAAGGCCGTTAAAGAAAAGTTCGATTGAAAAGTAAATAAATTTTTGTTTTAATATTAAAATATTAAATAAATATGTAATACATTTTTTTCCAAGAGAAAAAATTTGATCCATATATTTATTTTTTTCTATATTTATAACAAGAAAACTCTTTTTTTTAGAGAAATAAGATTGAAATATTAATAAATATAATTTTTCAAAGTTAAAAACAATTAACTATAAAATTTCTAATTTCGGAGAAAAACGAAATAATTTTTTTTTGTATTATTATTCCGAAAAACTAATTGTTTTAGAAAAAAAAAAAAATTCTATAGTTACCTAAAAGAAATATTTATGACTTAGAAAAATTGCTTTTTGAACTTATAGATAAATTTTAAATTCAAATTTTTATAATATTTATGAAAAATTTATCTAGTCAATTATTGTTTGAAAAATAATAATGTACAAAAATTATTAAATGATAATTATATTTAAGAGAATAGTAAACATTAACTTTGTTATTATAATTCGTGTAAATAAAAACAATAATTGTCTCGCTGTTTAATTTCTGCTAAAATTTGATATTAAAGTTTTAAAAAAATTGTAACAATAACAACCTTAATTAATCCTATATATGTAATTATGATAATTTTAAGTCAAATTACACCAATTAAAACATGATTATTATTTACATCATTATTGGAGCGTAAAATAGCAGATGTGACTCTCATTGTAAATGATTGAACATGTTATAAATTAACTATTGAGATTATCCTAATTAATTAATAAAATTTGTCTCTCGTTTATTAAAATTATTGATTGACTCCCGTATATGCGGAATTAATGAAGATATAATATTACTGTAAAAGTTTCCTTTAACTTTTTACTATACATTAATTTTTATTTATTTTACATTCAGAAAAAAGATTTCTTTGACAAATTTTTCTTTGATATAAAGAAAATTTATTTGTTTCAAACAAATTATCTTTGATTAAAAAAAAAAATTATCTTCATTTCAAAAAAATTGTTTATTTAATTCAAATAAATATTTCTTTTACAGTATATCAATGTTAGAATTTTTTTAATTTAATACACAAAATTTTTTTATTCAAAGAAATTTTCTTTCAAAATAAGAAGTTTTTTTGTTTTTAAGAAAATTTTATTTTAAATGAAAGAAAAAACGTCAAAAAATTGGTCTATTTAAATCAAAGAAATCTTTTCTCTCGGTGTACACGGTTTTTGGAGTCTCGTACCCTGCTAAATGCAGGGAGAATAATAAATAAATAAATAAACAAATAAATAAATATCTCCGATTTTTTTGAAATTTTTTTTCTTTTAGTACTAATTGAGACTAGATTCCATGAATTTTTTCAAATTTTTTTAGCAAGCCGTTTTCGAGTTACAAAATTTTGAAAATTGGAAAATTTTAATGACTTTTAATTTTTGAATGCTCATAACTTCCTGAAAAAAGCATCAATTTTAAAAGTCTTTTTTTCAAAATGCTTGTTTTTAAACGTACTTTTCTAAAAAATCGTTTTTTTTAAAACGATATTACTATCAAATTTTTGAGTTTTAATGATAAAAAGTAATTTTTCTCATTTGACGTACTGATCGATTTTTTCAAAATTTTTTCAAAAAAAAACTATTTCTTTTTACGAAACTTTTAAGCCTAGCCCGATAATGAGAAAACAATTTTTACAATATTTTTGAAATTTTTCAAAAATTTTTGAATTTTGAATTTTTTAAAAATAATTTTGTTTTTTTTTATGCTACGTACTTTTATGTATTTTGATGCGCTGATTACGAAAATCATGGTCACAATACCCAAAAATTTTGATTTTTATGGTAAAAACCATAAAAAAAGTCCCAAAATGTATGGTTTTTTTCGTTTATTATGTAGAATATGCAAAATTAAAAAAAATGCATCAGATATAAAAAATGTATTTTAATAAGATCTATAACTTTCGTTTGAACCAACAAAATTTAACCATAAATTTTGGGTCTTTTGTGGTTTTCACCATAAAAATCAAATTTTTGGGTATTGTCACCATGATTTTCGTAATCAGCGACTCAAAATACATAAAAGTACGTAGTATAAAAAAAAACCAAAAATATTTTTTAAAAATTCAAAAATTTTTGAAAAATTTCAAAAATATTGTAAAAATTGTTTTCACATTATCGGGCTAGGCTTAAAAGTTTCGTAAAAAGAAATAGTTTTTTTTTTTTAAATTTTGAAAAAAATCGATCAGTACGTCAAATGAGAAAAATGACTTTTTATCATTAAAACTCAAAAATTTGATAGTAATATCGTTTAAAAAAAAATTTCGATTTTTTTTCAAAGTATGTTTAAAAACACACATTTTGAAAAAAAAGACTTTTAAAATTGATGCATTTTTAAGGAGGTTATGAGCATTCAAAAATTAAAAGTCATGAAAATTCACTAATTTTAAAAATTCCATAACTCGAAAATGGCTTGCTAAAAAAATTTGAAAAAATTCATGGAAGCCAGTCTCAATTAGTACTAAAAGGAAAAAAAAAAATCTCAAAAATTCGGAGATGCAATTGCAGATGGACTTACACTTTTTTCGAAATGAATTTAGAAATAAGAGCGGAAAAAAATTAATAAATAAGGTGCCGGGAGGAACAACTCGCCGAGCGCTCAGCTGGATGCTCTAAAGCCAGTCACACGACCCAAAATATTCGAAAAAATTGAAATCCGAAATTTTGACATTAAATGCAAAAAACTGACAAATTTTTTTCACGAATTTCATTAAATTTTTAAACTTAAATCGTCGTATCCTTGACAAATTTTAATAAAATCACTTGTCATTTTGTATTCACACTTATTAGGGTACATACACTGTAAAAAGAATTTTAGGTATCAAAATAGAACCAATTAACAATTTAGTACCTAAAGTCGGTATTAAATTAATACCTTTCTTTTTACAGTGTAGAAGACGACAGGATAATAAAAAATTATTTATTTTTCAATAATAATTCATTATAAATAGTGAACGGTCGGTAATTGCGTTTTCTAACCTTTGACAAAAAAAAATCTGTGGGAAACTTTAAAATTAAAAAAACTTCCAGTGAGACATTTGTTTATCATAATATAAGGAAGTTTTCTGTAAATTTTCAAATCGATTCATTTATAAGTTTAGTAAATATAAGTATTTTTCCAAAAAGCGGCGACGCGCTAACGAGACGCCACGCGGAGCGAATCATTAATATTATATTAATTAATTTTTTAATTGATTAGGGTCAACCGGGGTAAATCCGAACGCTTTTAGTAAGTTTCAACAATAACATAAGTTTTTTCTTTAAAACAAAATACTTCCGGTATTCTGGTGCATGAAGTTGTTACTTTACTTGCATAGAACAATTTTATGGGGTAGCAAAAATTTTTGATAAATTACAATCGCAGGAAACTTAGCGTTCGTATTTACCTCGATACTTTGCAACTTTCCTAAAATACCGGGGTAAATACGAACGCCACTGTATTTCAGAAAAATCTTAGGGAAAATAAATTTAAAGTATTGCATTTGTTAAACTTATATAAAAACTCAAAAAAAAATACGATAATAAACCTATTATGTAATAATGCATCATATATAAATACAAAAATCAAACAGGTTAAAAATTAAAATGCATTACACAATTAAAACCTTCAATAACTTTATCAAATCATAACGGATTTTTGCAAAACTTGGTACAGAAAGTATTTTGGAGTGATTGAATGTAAATACAAAAATAAAAGTCAAATTTTTTAAATTCAAAATGGCGGACTTTCCTAAAACTTATTTTTAAAAATGATCAAATTTGCTAACCCTGAAACCCCCCGAGTAACAATTTTCGAGCGAATCCAATGAATTTTTTAATTCTCGTCCGCCATTTTGAATTTTGAAAAACTGACTTCAAATTGGTAATTAGCGACCCCAAAAACCATAGAATACCAAATTTTATTAAGATCCTGAAAAACTTTTTTCAATAAACCATTTGGCAAAAAAATTGAAACACTCCTTCGAGAAAACAGAGATTAAGTTTCTGCTTATTAATTACTAACGAGGATACGTATAGAAAGAAAAACTTTTTTCTATGTACTTTTATAATGTTAAAATAATAGTGTAATGAAATAAAAACAATTTTGTGTGGCTCTGATGTAAAAAAAAATTATTGAAAATACCGTTCGGATTTACCCCGGTTTTCCAATTTTCCTGGGTAAATACGAACGGTCTGATATTATTAATAAAATTTTACAGAAGGCAAAAATGAAAAATAGTTTCTGTTCTAGTATTCATAACAAACAATTATAAATAATAAAATAAATTTTTAGCTTCTTTTTCTTCAAATACGGGACAAAATACTGAAAGAGTGTCATCTTTGATTTTCAATCTTTTTTGCAATACTCGTTATCTTTGTTTATGCTGTTGCTAATTAACAAACGAAAAATGGGATAATACTTAGAATCTCTTGAAGGGGATCTGAGGTAAAAATTCTCATATCAAACTTATTTTTAAAATTTTTAATTAAGCTGAAATAATTAGCGTTCGGATTTACCCCGGCTGACCCTATATAGGTAATAATTATATATTAAATATAATAATAATAATAATAATTTAATAGGTAAATGATGTTAATATTCTTGGTTGGCCTAATGGCTTATATATATATATATATATATATTTATTCTACACGTATGACGCGTTTCGACACAGTATATTGTGTCCTCTTCAGATCATATAATGAAATTAATTATTAATTAATAATTAATTTCTTGAATAATTTCATTATATGATCTGAGGAGGACACAGTATACTGTATCGAAACGCGTTATATGTGAAGAATAAATAATAGTATATTATGCACCAAGGGTGGGAGCACTGAGTTTATTGATACGAGCACAATGTTTTCGAACAAGACGAAGCACGTGCCAAACAAGAATATTAAATTATATAGCTTTGTCAAATTATAATATAATAATAATTGTTATTTACATATATATAATTATTATAATTTTAATATTATATATAAAATTATAACTTATATAATATATAATTTAATTATTGCATTCAATTCTATAATAATTATAGGTATATATAGAATAATTCGATAATTTTAATTATTTTTTTATCAATAGCTCTTTTAATATGAACCACAGGATTTAATTATAATTTAAAAGCGCGGAAATAAGAAAATATCTTCACTTTTTTTATTTACAAATATCTCAGTTGAATAGAAATTAATTAAGGAACTGGCGAAGCAGAAAAAATACCAACAATCATCTTATAATTACATATCTTCTTGAAGGTTGTTTACGGACGATGATGGAGAGGCCCTAACATAACCTCAAAAATGAAGAAGGCGGTTTTTAATGTAAAAAAAAATTTAATAAAAATTAATTTCAAACAATTTTAAAAGAATCAAGATAGACAATTTTTGGAAAAAATTATGTTGACTTAAAACATTTTATTAAATAATAATTTTTTTTAACATTTTATTTAAATAATAATTTTTTTAACATTTTATTTAAATAATAATTTTTTTAACATTTTGACTTTTTTCTTTCAGCTTAAACAAAAATTGCAATTTTCATCCAATTTTTATATAAACAATAGCGTATTTTATTCAGTGAAAGATTCACTACAATCGTAAACATTTTTCAATTGTTTAAAGTATGTCGTTAAAAAATTAGTTAATAATTAAAATTTATAGGTTGTTTATATAATTTTTTAACAACATACTTTTAACGATCGAAAAAAGTTTACGATTCTAGAGAATGTTTTACTGAATAATATAAAATAAAATTTAAAAATTTTATAAAGTTTATAAACAGTTTATAAAAATTGGATAAAAATTGCGTTTTTTGTCTAAGCTGAAAGAAAAAAATAAAAATCTTTTTAAAAATACATAATAAACAAAATAACAAATAAAAATAATTTTTTCCGAAAAGTGTATAATTAGATCTTCTATAATTCTAGAAACTTTTTTTTTTTTAATTTTAACGACTAGCGCCTCCGACGGTCTTTGGCCGTCTCCGTTGCTTCTATTCTTTGTCCATTCAATTTAATTTTTAATTTATGTTTCATAATTTATTACAATTATTTTAATAAATATTTAATAATATTGTTAACAAAATGCAAAAAGGCATGTAATTATAGAGAAAGTTTCAAACAGAAAAATAATAATCTATTATATTTGTAGTCTGAAAATGATAATAATTGTTTAATAATTTTTTTAAAAAACTAAAAACACTTTTTTATTCAAGGTAATATTATTTTCATAATAATTTAATTTATTTCAATGTTATGTTATGTTATGTTCGTTTCTGATTCATGACAGCTGCAAATATTTACAACAAATAAATGCTTTGCAAGTGTATATTTATTGCATTTAAGTAAGTTATGCAAAATATATATGTGGAACAATAATTTAAGGTGATTTTCATAAAATGAATATTGATTTAGATGCTGTGGAAAGCAAAGTTCATTTTTTCTTACATTCGATTTTTTCGACCATCGAGATATTTCGATACATTTTCATGTGGTTTGCATGCACTGTCTTTTTTAAGAAAGGATATGATAAATTTATTTTGTCCCCCAAACTAAAATCAGCAGTAAGTGTAAAATTTAAAGAAAAAAATTAAATTTTTTTTTAATTGTATTATGTAACGCGCTCTAATAAACTAAAAAATTATGGGTTATTTTTATGATAGTTTGGAATGAAACTTCACAAAGAGGATCAAGTCTTAATATACGCAAATAATTGATGCTTCATCACATCAAAAATATTAAAGAAAAATTGATTTTGATTTTACATTATTAAAAAGAAACATTTGATTAAAGGAAAAACTATCACAAACATAACCTCTATAATTTTTTTTACATAATTAAAAAAGAAACCTTAGGTCACTTTTCTTCAAAAAAAGTTTCATGTATCACCTCAGGGAATTTTAAATTCAAAATTCAATTATATAAATTTAAATAGCATAATATGTGACGCGTCACGAAGAAATCAAGGTAAAACTGTAGTAAATATAATCTATAATTATTTTGCTTCTAAGGTACCTTTCTTCACGACGCGCCACACATTGAGAAAAGAATTCAAAAACTTACCTTAGAAGCTGTTGCTCAGGATCGATGACGCACATTCACACATGATTCACAGTATCTAGAAAAAGAAAATACAAAATTTTTCATAAAAATTAATTAGCTATCATTATAGAATAAATTTCAAATTATTTATTTTTAATCATCTATATCAATAGCGAATTTAATATCGCAAAGAACTCACTTTACAAATAAATATAACACTGCTAGATAAAAAGCCGAAAAAATACTAAAAATGTGTCAAGCAGAAACATGTATCTCGATTGTGAGTAGAACAAAGTGCGCGACCTATGAGGCGTTAGTTCAACTTCAATCCTATTGAGCGGTAATATTTGAAAATAACCAATAAAATGAGCTCGTTTTGTGGTAATTCTCACATTGAATTTTAAATTTTAAGTGAATCTATTCCCACATAGCACAATATCTTGCTGTAAACTTCCCTTGAATTTAAACCTAAAATTCGTTAGCTTACAGCGTAAACTTCAGGTGAGGTTAAGGTGAGCTGCAAATGTCCTCTCTACCGTAAGCAGCAGTGTAAGATTGTAGTCAGCTTACAGTTAAGCTTACTGTAACCTTACTGTAAGATTCCCGTAAACTTACTGTAAGCTTCGTGTAAGCTTACATTATTATTAATAAATGTTAATAAATAAATTAAACAATTATTTATGCGCAGGAAATTTTAATCAATTATTCCCGTTAGGGTTGTATATCCTACATCACAATGTATATCATCTGGTGTGATATAAATAGTTAAATATTAATAAATAATATTTATTAATATTAATTAACAGTAATGTAAGCTTAAAGAATTAAGTTTACATGAGGCTTACAGTAATTTTACATGGAAGCTTACATTAAGACTACACGAAGCTTACAGTAAGTTTTCGGGAAGCTTACACGGAAAAAAAGAAAAAGTAACTTTTACTACTTTAAAAGTAAAATTGGACCTGTCCGAAGTTTCTGCGCATCTCTGGCAACTTTTACTCCAAAAATAGTAACATTTACTTCAGAAATAGTAAAAATTACTACGGAAACAGTAAAATTTACTACAGAAATAGTCAATTTTACTATTTTTCGAGTAAAAGTTGCCAGAGATGCGCAGAAACTTCGGACAGGTCCAATTTTACTTTTAAAGTAGTAAAAGTTACTTTATTCGTTTTTCCATTTTTCTCCGTGTACAGTAAGGTTATAGTAAGCTTAACTGTAAAAAGCTGACTACAATCTTACACTACAGCTTACGGTAGAGAGGACATTTGCAGCTCACCTTAACCTCACCTGAAGTTTACCCTGTAAGCTAACGAATCTTAGGTTTAAACTTAAGGGAAGCTTACAGCAAGATATTGTGCTGTGTGGGATTTAAATTTATAAGATTATTTTTAACAAGTGATAATTTATATAATAATTGTTCTCTGAAACTTTTTACAAAATTTTCTTAGTAAGCAGGTATGTGTTAAAAGAAAAAAAAATTTCTAAAAGAACCCGAAAGCAAAAAATAATTAATTTGTTAATAAAAAAAATGTTAAATTTTTAATAAAAATTACTAAATAAAATTTTTATGTCAACATTGCTTAAAAGTTGAAGGAAAACAGAAACATTAAAAAAACCAAAATATTGATACCCAAGTAGCACGTAATATTACAGTAATATTCCAATGTCCTCCTCATGGAAATATTACAGTAACATTACAGTAATATTTCAAATATTTTTAAGTGTTTTTTGAAATTTTTTTATAATATTACAGTAATATTACCGGTAATATTATCATGAGGTGGACATTATTATTATTATATCGAAAAGTTGTAACATAAAAGAAAATAAAAAAGAATTTCGTTCCGAACGATGAAGAGTTCATTATCCGTTTAGGAAGCATCATAATATGTGTCACGTGTCCGCGTATATATAGATATATATCTAAAGTTGCTGAAATCCCTCTCTTTGGGAAAACCCTGTTAACATAAACTATTTGGAAGGAATGTAGACGCGATAGATCTATGATATGTAAAAAGGCATAAAAATTTCTAGAAATAAGATACAAAAGTTTTGTAAAGCAAAATTGACCCATTTCTGTAAACTGTCCGACGTCAAAAATATAGTGTAAGTAGGGTAAATGTCCCAATTACTGTGATGTACAACCCAAGATCGACTTTAATGATAAAATAATAAAAGTGTAAATGAAATAATGATTTAATTCTTTTTGTTAAATCACTATTAGTGTCTATTAAAGTAGAAACGATACTTTAAACTTGAAGAAATAACAAATATATTATTAAAAATATTAACTTTTTTAAAAATGGCATATGCTGGTATTTTCATTTTTTGAATTAGCATTTAACGAGAATGTCTTTTTAAAACAATTTTTATTTAACATATATATATATATATATATATATATATATATATATATATACTTTAGGAACCAAATTTTTATTTGTCAGAATTTTTAATTTTCCAAAATTTCTGATAAATGAAAATTCGTCTTTTTAAGAATTCCATCAAAAGCAATTTGTGAAAATAAAAATTCGGATAAATAAAGATTCGATGAATTGGAAATTGTGAAATTTAGAAATTAAATTTACTTAAAATTCTGTTAAATGAAAATTCTGCTAAATTAATATTCGGTAAAATTAGAATTTTTTAAAATAAAAAGTTACATAAAGAGAAATTCTGTAAAATAAAAATTCTTTTAAACTAAATACCTGCAATTTAGCAACTTAATCAATTTAGTAAAATTATCACTGAAATTCAATCACATTTCACTAAAAATCAGTCAAATTTATTACTCATTGAAACAGTTAAATCTGCATTATCATTAATGGGTAAAACAGATTTGAATTTTTAAACCGGTAATAAATCTGCATTATCATTAATCGGTAAAAAAAGATTTGGCTGGTTAAATCAGTAATAAATCTGCATTATCTTTATTCGGTGAAACAAATTTGACTGGTTAAATCAGTAATAAATCTTCATTATCATTAATCGGTAAAACAGATTTGATTGGTTAAATCAGTAATAAATCTGCATTATCAACAGTAGGTAAAACAGATTTGATTGGTTAAATAAGTAGTAAATCTGCTTTATCAACAGTAGGTAAAACAGATTTTTAGTAACATATGAATAAATTTCAGTGAAAATGTTACTTGTGTGAATCAGGTGCTAAATTCCAGCTATTTCAACAGTGAAATCTCACTGATTCAAATTTTAAAAGTTAACAAATTTAATTTTCAATGTTAAATCGTTTTTTTCTTCTACTGTAATTAAAATTAGTTTCTAAAAACAGTAAATCGAATATTTATTATTTATTATTAATAATAATTATTGTTACCCCTTATTTAACTATTATTTAAATAAATAATTATTATTAAATAACTTTTTTTCTAATTAAGTGTCACTTTTTTTCACGGTTTTTTTTTTAACAAAAAAAAATTGTTTTTGTTCTATTTTTTAGAAATCTATTTTCAATACAGTATAAGTAAAAAAAAAAACGATTTTACATTGGAAAATAATTTTGAAAATTTAAAGCAATCCATTTGAGAAATTCTGACCCAATTTTATTTATTATGTTATAGGTTGAAATTAAATTTTTTCAAAACATTTTTTTTTCTTGTAAAAAAAAATGGTTCAATGCGATTAAAATTTTTTAAATTAGTCATAAATTGAAAGCACACCACTTACTACTTTTCTTTTTTTTTCTTTTTTTATAGCAAACTATTGGATTTCACGTTAAAATTTACAGGGCATTGAAAAGTATTCTCTTGAATTTCATCGTGTCGTTGTATGTATATTGTATATATATATATACGTATATAATGAAGGGAGAAAAAATTTTATTTTCATTCAATATTGATTATCGAGTTTACTGCATTTTGACGCGTATTGTGCATCATGTCCGAAGGTAGATAATAGGAAGAAATTTATCTTCCAGTATTTGAAGGGCTACTGTTCGTTGACCCATGCTTTTTTAATAGCAGCATTAAAACCCTATCGAGAAGGCTAAAGTTCGCGCGCGTGAAACTTGAGAAATATTTGATCTCTAAAAATCATCGTTTATATATATATATATATATATATATATATTGGATTATGCAGGAAGTGAAGCAAATTTTCAAAAAGGGTAACACGACCCAATATAATAAGAAAAAAGTGAATTTCTGAAAAAAAATTGATTGTACTTTTATATATTGCTATATTGTGATAACATCAACAATTTATTGATGTGTCTGGCTCTATTCCGATATATGTATATATATATACACTTCCTTCTTATCTTCATCAATCATTCTCAAACGAAATTTTTTTTTCATTTTGACGCGTTTTTGCGAAACGCGATAAACAGGATTTTCTTTTTTCAAATTCAATTTGAGAACATGCTGGTATTTTTTATTTATTTTCAACAAAGAAATAATATTTTCAATATTAAAATATAAATTTTGTTATAAAAATAAAAAAATAAAATAAAGAAAAAACAAAATAAGTAAAAATAGTAAAAATTTAAAAAATAATAAAAGTAGTAAAAATAATAAAAAAAATAGTAATAAAAATAGTAAACGGAAAAATAGTTTTCTCTTATCCCAAGTAGGTACTATATATTGATTTTACTCGGATGAAAAAACAATCAACAGGTTGTCCTTAAAAATATGCTCGAATTCTTCCCACTTAATTTGACCTTTAGAAAGTCATGACCCCATTTCAATAATATCTACAGTTTAATTATAATCGAGGATATATACTTATTCTTAAAATATTTGTTATATTTTTAGATATTTGAAGGTACGACTATATCGTAACGTATATATATATATATATATATATATATATATATATACCTATAATACATATAAACGTATATAATAATAACAAGAAAAAAAAATAATTGTAAAATTTGTAAAATTATCAGATTAAAACAATTAAATTGTTGTCACCTGAATTGGTTGAATTCATTTGCGATTCGAGATTAAATTTACCTAACCCTATAGGAAACTGTGATAATGTTCACACTTTATTGAAGTACCCAATTAAGTGATACGCCCACCAAAGTTTAGTCGTGGAGAATAAATTAAACATAGAGATTGGTTTGACTATTGTTTGTTATGTATATATGTATATATATATATATATATATGTGATGCAAAATATTTCTCTATTGGGAAATGATAAGAATAGTATATAGCAAAAATAAATTATACTAGTAATGTATAATCATAATTAATTGATAATAAATTAAAGAAAACAAAAAAATTTCTTTAAAATATTGTAAAAAAGTGATTGAGTCAGTTATAATACCTAATTTTTTAAATTTAATTTACAAAAAATTTTCATTTCATATATCAAATATTTGAATCAAAGAAACCGAAAAAATTTCAATTTAATTAATTTTACTGTCATGTTAATTAATTTTTACTGTAATGTTTTTTTTATTTACCTAACACTTATTTTTAAAAATCTAACATTGGAAAAAATTTTTTGGGTGACGAGGAATCGAACCCCAGTTCGCCGAATACAAACGAAGGACTCTAACCAAAGCGCTAAACTACAAAACCAATGTTCAGTTTTCAATATATTTCTTTGAACTTATTTCAAACATGAATTTAAAAAATTTTCAAGTAAACAGTTGTATTTTTTTATTTTCAACATTTCCCAGATAGCACGTAAGCTTGTAACAACCTTGCGACAAGATTTCTGCGAAATATTGCCAACCTTGCCCGGCAAACTTACCGCAAGGTTACTGCAAGCTTCAAATGTCCCACCTGATCGAAAGCTTGCATAGTAATCTTACCGAGGGATTGTAGTATAAAGTTACCGCAAGATTGTACAATAAGATTATCGCAATATTGTTCAGTAAGCTTGCACGGTAAGCTTCTATTAAGGTTCATGCAAGGTTGCCAAATAACCTTGCTTTAAACCTCAAAAAAAATTTTTTTTAAATGTTTCGTCTAATTTATATAATTTTATTATATAAATTAGACGAAACATTTAAAAAAAAAATTTTTAGGTTTAAAGCAAGGTTATTTGGCAACCTTGCACCAACCTTGCTACAAGCTTACTGAGCAATATTGCGATAACCTTATTGTGCAATCTTGCAGTACCCTGAAATCTTTCGGTAAGCTTACCATGCAAGCTTACCTGCAGTCAGGTGGGACATTTGAAGCTTGCAGTAACCTTGCGGCAAGTTTTCCAAGCAAGGTTGGCAATATTGCGCGGCAAGCTTGCCGCAAGGTTGCTGCAAGCTTACGGACTAATTGGGTTAGGTAAATATGAAAAAAATTAAAATCAATTAATATAATTGTTAAAAAAGAAAAAGTTGAAAAAACTGTTCTTTTAAAATTCAAATTCTAAAAATGTCAAAAACTTTTGTAATAAAACGTGGAGAGCTTATAATATTATATTCCTTTTTTTCTTCTTATTTAAGAATTTAACAAAACAAGAAATTTACCATGAAAATTGAAACTTTCATCATTTTAACTAATACCGTTGAGATGTGAAATAGCACTTAAAAGAATACGCGTAAAAACTGTTTTTTGTAAAGCTGCATTTCTACTTTATTAATTAAAAAAGTATTTTAAATACGAAGAAATTTACTAAAAGATATTTGAATTTAAAATTGTAGACAAAAAGTAATGAATTTAATTTTTTTTAATCTAAAACAGTATTTTTTTTTCGAAAAATCCATTCTTAAATTGACAAAGTAAAAATTTGTTTTCCATAAAATATTAATTTTAATTAATTTTTCTTTCATTTCATTTTAGTTTAAAAAAACAAACTTTTTTACAAAGAACATTATTTATCAACCGTCATATCCAATGCAAACAAATTATTCCCTTTTTCTCGATAATTTTAGTTTTGTTTCTGTTTGTTTTTTTTTTGGTTGAGAATTAAAAATCAATATATGAAACAACACGGAAGTTTTTTTACTTTTGTCATTACATTTCCATCGTCTCGTCTTTTTTTATTATATCGATAAAATCGCATTTCACATTTTAGTCGAGAAATAGTAACGCAATTCTTGTTAATATTTAATGTTCAGATGAAAAAAAGTTTTGAAATTAAATATGCAATAATAATATAGCTAAAGAAATATATTTCTATCATATGCAGTAAATTCTTTTATCTCTATTATCTATTAACTGTAACTATATAGTTCAGGACATACTGATACAAAATTAAAAACAAAGTTTTTTATTTATTATTAAAAATTATTAATTGAAAAAATTAATACTTTATAATATTTAATTATTTTATTTGTTTTAAATAAATATTTAAATATTATTTATTATTATAGATAAAAAAATCTATTTTTTCAATTAAGATCCTAAAGCACTTACAATTATTATATTTTCACTAATGGAGTTTATATATTATTATTTTATTTATTTTTATTACATATATAATAGAAAAAATAAAAATATATAACACAAAACAACATTAATGCATTTTTAATTAACAAAAAGTACGCATGGAGGTGTGGTCAATATAAAAACGCCTAGACGAGAAAGGCGGAGACAATATTTGTCCAGCGAATTTTCACATTTACGCCCACTTAAAAATTTATCTACTTAACACGCTTTTGGAGTAGATCCAACAGAATGCGGAAATAAGCATTTTTTTTTTTTTAGTTTGAGGCGTGGGTTTTCTATGACTCTCTTCTAGAGGCAGGATCTTTTAATCCCACCCACTGGGGGCGTTCTATAAATATAACCACGCCTAAAAAGCTACCAGTAATATTAAATATATATGAAAATCTTTTTAAAACGATTCCAGTCTTCTCTATTTGATTTAACCAATTTTACAATTTTTTCCAAAGAAAAGTAGTAGAGGAGGCGTCGTTGTTATAAAGAACGCCTATGAGCAGGCGTGGCTAGGGAAGAGAGAGAGTTGAATCAACGTAAAATTTTCTGAGGGTATTTTCAGGAAATTTGCTATATTAAATAAACTCATCCAACGACAACTAGTAGTGGAGGAATGGTTAATTTAGGGAACGCCTACAAGTGGGCGTGGCTTGCAAAAGGAAGGTTTAATCAAGGTAAAATTTTTTCGGAGTATTCTCAAGAATTTCGATATATTAAATAAAATCATCTAACGATAACTAGTATCGGAGGCGTGGTTAATTTATAGAACGCCTACAAATGGGCGTGGCTTGCAAAATAAAGGTTGAATCAACGTAAAATTTTCTCAAAGTATTCTCAAGAATTTTGCTATATTAAAAACATCTATCGATAACTAGTAGTGGAGGCGTGGTTAATTTATAGAACGCCTACAAGTGAGCGTGACTTGCAAACGGAAGGTTGAATCAGCGTGAAACTGTCTCGAAGTATTGTCAAGAATTTTGCTATATTAAATAATATTAACTAACGATAACTTGTAATGGAGGCGTGATTAATTTAGAGAACAGGAGTAGTGGGCGTGGTTTGCAAAAGGAAAGTTGAATTAGCGTGAAACTTTTTTGGAGTATTGTCAAGAATTTTCCTATATTAAACTCATCTAACGAAAACTAGTAGTGAAGTCGTGGTAGATTAAAAGAACGCCTACAAGTGGGCGTGGTTTACAAAGAAAAGGTTGAATCAATGTAAAGTTTGGTCGGAGTTTTTCAAAAAAAAATTTCTATGTTAAATAAACTCATAACGATAACTAGTAGTGGAGACGTGGTTAAGCCTACAACAACCCAGCTGACATTACGTCTTTTAGAAGATGTAGTCAATACAAATCACGACTAATAGGGGGCGTGGCAAACAATAATCATCCTACAAGAGGCGTGTTCATAGCCAGCACCGAAATATAGCCTGTCTAAATTTTAGAGTATCGAAACAGTGTGCAACAGCCCCTTAGAGGTTGGGCCTCAGAAACTGCAGCAGGAGGCGTGGTTAACCTAACCAACATTATGTAAAAGACAAGGCCAGTCCCAATTACGCCTACGAGTGGGCGTGGCTAACAAAAAGAATGTCAAATCAGCACTATTTTTTGTAGAAGGGCGTAATCAACATCGTTGACACCTACAAGGGGCGTGTCCGCAGGTGAAATAGAAATACAGTCGATCTAAGCTGTAAAGCGTCGAATTGGCGCGCGCCAACCCCTTAGGGGTTGAGTCTTAACAGTTCCAGTAAAAGGCGTAGTCAACCTAGCCAACACTGTAAAAGAAATTGACAATATGAATCACGGCGACGAGTGGGCGTGGCTAAAAAGATGTCAACTGCCTCTTATAAAAGGCGTAGTTAAAATAGTTGACGCCTACAAGGGGCGTGGCCATAGGCGGCACAGAAATACAGTCTCTAAGTTTTAGGGCGTAAGACAAGCCCCTTAGGGGTTGGGTCTTAAAAACTTCGCCCACTAAAAGGCGTGGCAATCGTTACTTTTTAAACTACAAATATACGCCAATAAAAATTGATAATTTTCTATAACAAAAAACACTTTTTTTTCTACCAGCATATAGCCGTCATTAATATAACGACAATAACCGTTATCTCATATATGCAACATGCTGTCAGCGTCGTTAAAAAGTAACGCATTATTTTTTACACGACTTGTCTCAATAAAATAGGCAATTTATTTTTAGAATATAAAAACAATGATCCATACATTAATAACACGAAAACGTAACAAAAATAAAACTCTCTCTATATACATATATATATAGATAACAATATGTATATAGGTATATATATAAAAATTGAGTATAAAGCGGGGGTGTGAGAAAGAATGTACACGTATGTGTATATAGAAAAACACAGAAATAGAAAAAAATATGCTTTTACGTCTCGAGAGAGTGTATATAGAGAGCAACAAGTACTTAATCCTGCGTAAAGCTGAAGGGCATTATGACACGTGGTGTGGTTTCAATGTGTGTTTTGTTACAGGTGCGCATCATTGATGGACAAAACGCAGGATTCGTCGCTTTCGCAGTATACAGGGCTCTAGCTTCGAGTTTGCAGGCGTCTATAAAAGCGCTCTCACGACGCATCGACGTCACAAGCCGGTTGTACATTGCACAGTAAAGAACCCTTGGATCATATTATATTCAATTCTAATCAATGAACCCTATTTAATGAATCAAAAAATTTCTTTCTAATCAGTGATCCTTTGAGAAACAGCAACAAAAAAAAAAAAGAAAGAGGGAAAAAGAAGAAAAATTTTTCGTTAAAACTATAAGAAGAAAGGTATCATAGAAGAGTGAGAAGAGAAGAAAGAAGAAGAAGAAGAAGACGTTCACTTTATTTAAAAAAGTGGTATTCAGGGTTTGATATATCTTATCGTTTCGCGAGTTATAAAAACGATTTGTTAAATAAACTTTTGCCTAAAAAAAAAAAACATTTAAACTTTCTTTATTTGTGGTCTCTTTTTTCCACAAAAGTTTTCAAAAGTTGTCAAGTGCGTGAGAAGAGTTATAAGAACAGGGGTAAAAAGAATTAAAAGACAAGTAAGTGAAGATTTTTATAAACCACCCTCTCACTGACATTATCAAGTTTTTAATCGACAGAAGAATTAGAAAAAGTAAGGAAAAAAAAAATTTCGAATTATAGAAAATTCTTTACAAAATTTGTATTTTTTTTTCCAAATACAAATTTTTCACTTACGTAAAATAAATATTATTTATTATCCAATTACTATTATATATTATATTATAATTATTATACATAATAATTATATAATATATAATTTAATACGACAAATAGAATGAAAATAAAAATCTCATTAAATCTCAGTAAACAAATAAAACGGTAAATTAAAAAATAATGATATTTACTTTCAATCAATACCTCAACAATTGATAAATTGAAATTTTTATTTAATTTGGAAGAATTAAATAATTTAACTAAATCGTATTATAGTTTCCGTATTTTTAATCTCAACTATAAATAAAAATCTAATCTAAATCCTAATTAATCGGAAATGGATTTTTCTCTCCCTGAATTTTCTCACATACTTGATTAATGATGCATTTAATTTCCAATCTCGATAATTCAATGATGAATTGGAAAATTCTCACACAAGATTAATTTTTCAATTAGAAACACACTTGTATGTATTCTAATTGAGCTGTGCATGTAATTAGTAATGTGCGGAGAGATCCAGAGGGGAGAGGGAGAGCGAAAAAGTTGGAGAAAACCATTAAAAGAAAAAAAAAAAATACTTAGGAAAAGCAGTTTCCAAGATTTATAAAAAGAAATTTTCATATTTTAACTTCAAAGTAAAATTTCTTTTTATATAATTTCTTTTTAATCAATTTTCTTGTGGCTGATGTAATTCTAATGTGGAGAAAGATCATTTTCGAGAGACGCTAATGGGAACGATTTAAATATAAAACGGCCAAGATATTTTTGTACTAGATATAGTATATATATTCTATTTTTTATTGTAAAAAAAAAAAAAAATTTTTTTCACTTCAAAGGATTGTTTGGGATTAATAAACTTTTGATCAAACAGAAAAAAATATTAGTTAAATTCATTTATTTCTATTTCAATTTTTTTTCAATTTTTTTTTTGCCTCTCATTCTTTAGATATTATTCATTAAAATTTTAATTTTTAGAATTTTTTAAATATCTCTAATTTACAATTACATAAATTATAATTATTATAATAATAATTATTATTTTTATTTGTAAGTATAAGACTAAAATATAACAAATTCAAAGGAAACTGCAAAATGTTTTAAACAATTGAAAAAAAATTAATAAGTAAAAAACTTTGTATTTAAATAAATTAAAACATTTTAAAGGAATAAAACTTTATTTAAAACAAAAGACAGTTTTGTAAGAATAAAATGTTTAAAATTAGTAAAGTTTACTTTTAATTTTGTAAGATTTAAATAAAAAAAATTTGAAAAAATATAATCAATTTCAATTAAATTTAAAAATATATTATATTTAAAAATTGTTAAAAAAAAGGAATTTATTTAAAAATTGTTTTAAAAAAAGTAATTTATTTAAAAATATTTCGTAAAAACAATTAAATTTGTTGTTAATCCCATAAATATATATATATATATTTTTTAAACACATTTATTTTCCATGTATAATGAATTATTGCGAAATTTAATTTATTTCAAAAATTAACTAAAGAATTGAATAAATTTTTTCTATTCTATTTTATATACTTCTTTTGAATATATAAATAATGTTGTTGTTTGTAATTAATTTTTGCTTTAACAGAAAAATTTATGTCTGTTTATATCTGCTAAATAAATAAGTAAAAGATAAAACATTTGTCTTCCTTTATTTTTTTTTATTTACTCGTTTTATTGATTTAGTCATTCTTTTTATATTTATTTTTAATTTTTTTATCCCTTTCTCTCTGTATAAAAAGATTTTCCCAACATGTAAATCTCTTTAAAATAAATAATAAACAAAATAAACAAATTTAAATAAGTTTTTAAAAATTTGCTTTAATTTTTTTTAAATTTAATTATTTTCAACATTTAAAAAAAATTTGCAAAAATTCATTTTTTTAAATTTAATTAACATTTTAAAAAAAAGTTTTTTTTATTATTAATCTGAGAAATATAAAATTAACACTTGCGCACAATTTTGTTTTGAAAAATTTTAATAACTATTTTTCTAAAATATATTTTGTTAAATTATAATAATTACAATAGTTTTATGATTAATTTTGAAAAAGTTATGTTTGAAAAAATTTAAAGATTGTCAAAGAAAAAGTGAAAATCAATTAAAAAATTTTTGTAAATAGACATTTAAATATAAGTTCAACGGTTAAAATTTTAATTAAACGCATTAGAAAGTATGAACCTTTGAAAAGTAATGTATCCAAAGGGGGTAAATAATGCTTTCTATTTTAAACTCATTGTTTCCTGTTTTCTCTTTGTGTGTTACAAAGAGACAATTTTTTTTTCTATTTTTCGCCTATTAAAATATAATATTCAGTAAAGAAGTAAAAGAGAATTTTTAATTTGCATATGCTTTGATGTGTGTATAAACAATTTTTCACTCAGGACACATAAATTAATTTAAAAATTATATAAATAATTGTCATTAAAAAAAAAAAATACAGAAAATTTAAAAATTATTTAAATGCTTCTTTGGGTTAATAAAGTTTCTCGAAATAACGCCCAATTATAATTATAATTATTATAATTATTATTATCATTTTTATTATTATTTATTACTATTATAATTTTTTTATTTAATCATTACTATAATATTATTTTATTTAAAAAAAATTAAATTAATTTTATTTCCAATAACATTTTGCCCTCTTTGAAGTTAAAATATTTTTTTATTTATTTACAGTAATAAACGGGGGAAAATAAAATATGTTATTTATATATTATAACATCAAAAATTTAATTTGTATATTAATTTTTTAAAAAATTTTATTACAAAAATTTGTAATAAATTATTTCTAATTGCATGTTCAATTAAAATGAAATTATAATTAAATTATAAATAATATTTGAAATTGTTCAGTTTTAATTTAAAATTAATTATAATAATGATAATTATTATTAATTATTTTAAAATTGAAATTTAAATTGAAATTTAAATTACAAATTATTTCGATAAAATATTTCTTTTGAGAAATTCGTTACAATTTGTTATCACAGGCAAAATTATTATTATCGAAATTATCCTTTGTGCTATATGAGACCTATTCACACATACACCCTTGGTATACGATAATGTAATCAAATTTCTAACATTATTTATTTCACGCGTAGATTTATCATCATTTAATGTCATTAGTTTCTAATTTTATATATATAAAAAAAAAAAGAAAAGAAAAACTCGTATAAGGGACATTGAACCTTCTTATCTGCTGAATAAACCTTTATATGGAACAACAAAATATTTTTTAACAAGGACATTTTTCTTAATTCGCAACGCGCTTTTTCTATTAATATTTTTGGTCCTCCCTCCCTCCCCCCGTTTTTTAAGCTTGCCTCATATATAAATGATTCGTCATTTTCAACATGATGACTCACTTATCCAAGAATTGTAAGAATTCGTTTCATGACGTCTATTTTATAGAAAAATTAATAGCCAAAAATGGTTTTCTAAATTTTAACATATCATTTTCTTCTTTTTCCCCAAAAAAATAAATAAAATTTATAAAAATTTAGTTAATTCTACAATTTTTTTATTAACAAATAAAATGTAAGGAGTAAAAAATAAATTCTCAAAAATCGATTAAAATGTGTGCGACGATTTTAGGAAAAAAAAATGAAATTGAATAATTTTCAAGAATCATCGCTTTTGGAAAAAAAAATTTCAATATTGACGTATGTGATAAAAATGTGTGACGATTTTAGGAAAAAAAAATTCAATGATTTTTAAGTCATCGCTTTTGGAAAAAAAATGCTAATTGAATAAAATCACCTATTTCTAAATCGTGAAGGAATGAGCAATAATTCTTTATAGATTATTCTATATCCTTTCCTCATATTCATCCCACTCGAATTAATAGACTTTTAGGTCGAAGTTAAAAATTGTTATATGATTCAATTCATGCATAAATTTTTTTTTTTTTTTTTTTTATTTGAAATTGTCATTCCTAAAAGTGACTAAATTTTCATATTTAAAAAAAGAACTGATATATCTATATAATAATTTATAAAGAAAGTTGCACTAATGACAAAAAAAAAAAAAATTTGCGTCATCTTATTCTTTTCATCGCGTGTAGAAAAAAAAAAGAAACCCGATGGTCCACACGAGACATTCTAATGAGAACAAGAAACTCATAAAAATTCTTGATTTGCCAGAGGTGTGCGACACTCATCGGCTTTTGCCTCGTGAATTTTGTCGTTAGGAATTCCACTCACTTTTGTTTGTTTCTGTTTATATTTAGATCAATAAAAATAAGATTTTAGGCTATTTTTATACAATCTAGTAAAAGTGATTTAATACTTCTGTTTATATATATATTAAATTTTCTAATTTCTTTTTCCTTTTACTTTTTAATTTTTATTGATATAAAAAAATGTAATAGTTTATTTATTTATTTATTTATTTATTTATTTATTTAAACATAAACGGGTTACAAAAAAACCCTTTCGTACAGAAGTACTTAATAATAATGGCATACAAAGCCTAGTTACAAATGACCAATTAAGGTAATATACTTAACGCTAGGCTTGGCTGTATAACAATTGTCTCAGACTAGAGATAAACCTGGTCAGTGAGGCGTCAAAAAAATCAAGCGCACCAGAACTAGTATTAGCCTCTCTGCTTATTCTTGCAATCAGAGAATTTTTCGCATAATTCGTTTTATGATACTGCACATAAAAAAGTGAAAAATATCTAGACGATTTCGTTGGTACTGAGAATTTAATCAATGACAAAAGTACTGAGCAATTCGTGTAATTGTTTAACAACTTGTACAAAAAAATTAAATCTGAATATAAAAATCTAGTGACAATTTTGGGCAAATTCAAACGATTTCGTAATTCATCATAATTATGTTCAAAAAAATTGAAAGGTATACCCAATTGTCTTGCCGCAAACCGAAGAAACCGATTCTGAACACGCTCCAATCTTATTAACAAATATGCGTAGTATGGCACCCAAATAACTGACGCATACTGCAATATACTCATGACGAAAGCAAAAAACAAGATTTTAAGAGTACGCTCATTTCGAAACAAGGATGCATTTCGTGTCACAAAGCCAAGCGACCTAAGTGCCCTGCTAATAACATCAGAAATATGAGAATTAAATGATAGTGTACTGTCAATAGTAACACCCAGGTCACAAACTTGAGTCACTCTCGGTATTACATCTTCACCAAATGAGTACAGGTAAATAAGTGTACTTTGTTTCCTTGAGAAAGATATCACCGAGCACTTTTTAATATTAAGAGACATGTTATTTTCAGAACACCATGTTTTAAGATTGTTCAGATCTGATTGTAAATCAGCATAATCATTGTCTGTTTTTATTACTTTATATAATTTTAAATCATCTGCGTACAAAAGAAAATAACTGTTTTTAAAAATAGATTTCATGTTATTGACATATAAAATAAACAAAAGTGGTCCCAAGTTAGATCCCTGAGGAACACCAGAAGTTGATAAGAAAGGATTAGAAAAGGCATCATTAAGACGCACATATTGATATCTGTTATTTAAGTAACTTCTAATAAATTTCAACAGATTATCAGGAAATCCCAGGTCCCTTAGCTTTGCGACAAGAATCCCATGATCCACCTTATCAAATGCCTTTGAAAAATCCGTATAAATCGCATCAATTTGCACCTTCTCCTCCATGTTCAGTAACAGAAAATTTGTGAAAACACCCAAATTTGTTGTGGTAGATCTATTTTTGAAAAAACCATGCTGTTCATCTATTATAATATTAGATACAGAGTTATAAATTAAATCAAACAATAAACTTTCAAATATTTTTGCAATACAATTTAAAAGTGTTATAGGCCTGTAGTTTTTAACATTTTTGTTATCATCAGATTTATAGATAGGGACAACATTACCTTTTTTCCACTCGTATGGAAAGACAGAGCTATTGAGAGATTTATTATATAAAATGTGCAATGGTTTTATGAATGACGTAGAACATGAACGTAAGAGGAGAGGCGGCACCCTATCTGGTCCGGCTGATTTATGTACATCTAGAATCTTAATCTTATCGAATATTTCACTAGGAGAGATGTACATATTTTGCAGATCAAACATAGAGCTATTCAAAATACTATTATTGTCTCCATTAACAGCATTATCATTGTCATTGCTAGTAGGTTGCACATTAGGTAATGTATATACTGATTGAAAAAATTTTGCAAATAACTGACTAATGTCAACATCATTGTTACAGGTTTCATTCTCAAGATACATTGTTTTTGGATATTTTAAACTTTTACGTTTAGAGTTAATATACTTCCAAAAAATTTTTGGATTACTAATAATAGAATTTTCAGTGTTTCTTAAGTAAGCAGTATAACAAGTTTTTGAAAGAAGTTTACATTGTGATCTTAAGTTTGAAAAAAGTAAATAATTATCATGATTTGGGAATACCTTATAATTATAATGTGCAACCTTTTTTGCAATTACAAGATTCTTTAATTCTGATGTAAACCAATGCGGATAATTAAAAAAACGTGCTGATTTGACAGGTACAAACATATGTATTGCAGTATATAAATAATTATAAAAAATTGTTAATGCAGAATCAATGTCAGAAACGTCAAGTTCTGTCTCCCAGTCGATACTATTCATATAAGAATTAATAGCTGAAAAATTTGCGTGTTTAAAATTATAATTAATTATATTGGAATGATTACCTTGCTGTCTGTCACTATCAACACCAACAAAATTTCCGATTATTTTTAGAATTAAAGGAGGGTGATAATTATCAACTGGGAGAACAGAATCCATTGATAAATTCAATAAGAAATCAGTTGAGTTACAAAAAACTAAATCCAATAGTGAATTGTGATCATTAATAAACATATTAATCTGCAATAAATTGACAAAATCACACGTATCAGAAATCAATGATGATATAGCTTGATGTTGTGTTAATGTAGAATCCTTCGGAGTAACTTAACTTTATTTTTTATTTATTAGAATCATTATTATTATTATTAAAGTATAATTTAAAAAAAATTTATTTGATTCAAATAATCGATTACTATTATTAAATAAATATTTATATTAAATAATTATTTGAGTCAATTGTTTCAAATACAGAAATTATTTATAATAAAAAAAAATAAATAAATAAATAAAAAAAATTATAAATACAATTTATTTAATTCTATTAAAAATTATTTGGTTCAAGTAAATATTTATTTGATATAATAGTCAACTAACGGAATATTTGAATCAAATAAATTCTTTTTTTAATTCAATTAAATTTTTATTTGATTTAAATAAAAAAATTTAATTTACGCCAAATAAATAGGCTAGTAGGATGTGAGACAAATATACGTTTATTTAACACAAATATATTTTATTTGGTTTAAATAAAATAAATTTAGTTTAAATATAATTTTTCTTTGGGTTTATTAATGTTAATTTATATTGTATTTTTTTTGTATTTTTAATTTTCGTACATTGTTATTATTTATAATATAATTTTATAATATTTAATATTAAAACATTATTTGAATAATTTTTCAAAAAAAAAATATATAAGAGAAAAATAGTACAATGAAATTAGATTAATTATATATATATATATAGGTTTATTAGATATGTAATTAACTTTTTATCGTGAATTTAAAAACCTGGGATTAAACTGGGTCATCATTAACAATAAACTACGTGATATGTTTTTCATGAATTTCGAGAGCTATAGAATTTCAAAATAATAATTGGTGAATAATATTTTGACGAACGCCGCACACTTCCCACCCTATTTGAACCAAATTTTTTTTTCATTTATTAATTTATTATTATTATTATTATTATTTTATACCTCTTTCATCTCGCAATTTTCTTTTTCAAATACTTTTTTTAAAATTCATATCCATGAACTCCACGAATAATATATAGTCTATCTTTTTAATTCCAGATTAAAAAGCCTATTATTCTATATTATTACTTACTTTTATAGCTGATGGTCTTTTTTTTCATCCCTACTTTTGTCCCTTCCACTATCTAAATATGAATTAAATTCATTCACTAATTTTAATTAGTAAAATTTTCAACTAATTTTTTTTTAGTTATTTTTCACTAAAACTTTAGTAAAAATAAGGCAAATCAAATAATTTAAAAAAAATTTTTTTTTTTATTTTAAACAGTTTTTTAAATTGTTTATTTATAAAAAGTTAATTAATAAATTATAAGTGAATTATGTAATAATTGAATAATTAATAATCGATATTATATTTATTGGAAACAATTCGCGATTAGCTTTCAAATTTATTCGTCTCATTACACGTAATTATTATTTATAATAAATAATAATTTTAATTTCGTGTATAGATATTAAAATTGTTTAATAATTAATTATTGCTAAACACGAATATGAACTCCGTTTTGCTCCTCCACGTCTACGTTCCTTCCTAACCTTAAAAAACATGTCACATTTTTGGTGAAATACGATTTTTTTTTAAATTGATCAATTTATACACGGAAAAAAATTTTCTGGTAATTCTTTAACATCGATTTAGAGATTTTACATGTTCCTAAATCTGTTAATTCTACAGATATTTTCTGTAAGGATTTAACGCATGCGCGAAAACAATGCAGTGATTCGACTAAGACTGAGAACGATTGAGTGCGAGAGGTTAAGGCGAATTTAGTGTTTTTATTATTATCATAGTGTCGGCAAGAAAGTTTAATTAAAAAGGAAACGTCTTAAGTATATAAACATTATTATAGAAATAAATTATTACAAATTTTTTATTTTAAAATTAACTGTAGTGATTAAGTGAGAAAAGTCGTTTGTTTCAATTTCTCGACATAAGAAAAAGTGGATTTATCATAAGTTTTGAAAACTTGCTCCTCATTTTTTTTGTTAGAAAATTATTGAAGGATGAATTTATTTACATAGAAGTTATACTAATTTATACAATAATGTTTCGCGAATTTAATGTATTCGGAGGAGAATATAACCTATAAGAAATACTCTACCAAATATATATTATCCCCATATAGTATACATAATTTGGTCACTCGACAGTTTTTAAGAACTGTAGCTCAAACTTGTAGAATTAACAGATTTTAATGCCAATGATTCCACATATTTCTCTATTTGGAGAAACATCAGTAGATGGCGCAGGAGTTTCTGTAAATTCTACAGAAAATTTTTTTCCGTGTATGAAACTGGGTATTTAAGGGTTTTTAAGGTCGCTGATTACGAATCTGAAGCCAGATTTTGAAAATTCAAAATGGCGGATCCAATATGGCAGATAAATTTTTTTGAAAATTAATGATTTTAAAAATTTCTTTTAAAAAATTGTTGGATTTTTATGGAATTTGTTATTTGGGGGTTTGAGTGGCCGCTCATTACGAATCTGAAGTTAGCTATTCAAAATGACGGATCCAATATGTCGGACGAAAAAATAAAAATCATTCAGAACGGCTTGAAAATTGTTACTCGAGGGTTTTTGGTGTCGCTGATTAAGAATCTGAAGTCAATTTTTTTAAAATTCAAAATAGCGGATCCAATATGGAGGACGAATTTTTAAAAAATTGTTTGATATTTATGAAATTTAATACCGAGAGTCTTTTGTGGTCACTAATTGAGAATTTGAAGTCAGATTTTTATAATTATAAAAATTTGACTTGGATTGATACCGAGGGTTTTTTGTAGTCGCTGATTGAGTGTACTTTGATCTCCCAAACCCGGGCACTTTTTTTTTATGTGGTTGTGTTATCATTCAGAAATGTATACGAAATATAAAACAATTTTTAAATTTTACATAGGACATAAAGAACACTATAATTTTTATAAACAGTTTTTATAAATAAAGAATTTAAAAAATAATAATTTTTTTGAAACAAATATTATTTTTAAATACCACATTTCAAGACGAGAAAATCTATTTTTTGGTTTTTAAATTTATCAACTGGATCTCGAGAAATTTTTTTTATTTATTTAACCCTTAACTGGTACCATGGGTCCAGTAGACCCGAGTATTTTTTCGAGTTCAAATTAATTAAATGTGTAGCTTTTGAATATTTTTTTATATTTTAATATATTAGTTTGACATAATCTTTGTAATTTTGTTAGTTTTTTGATTAAATTAAATTTTTGTGCAAAAATATTCAATACCGGCTGTACAATACACGTTTGAATTCGTCGGGTCCAGCAGACCGGTTGTGCTATTTACGTTCGAACGCGGAATTGTGCCAGTTAAGGGTTAAGACAGCTAAAAATTTCTAATATTTATAACTGTAACAAAAAAAAAATTACAGTAGAAGTAAAACAATGCGATTGAAAATTAATTACTTTTTGAAAATTTTAGGTGATCCTTTTGAGAAATTCTGACCCTTGTATAAATTAAAAAATCAAATTTTACTAATTCAATAGTAAACATTTATTTTTAACTATAGTAAATAACTCTTCAGTGGGTACATGACCCTTTCTATTTTTAAATCATAATTTCCTTATTCATATATAAATAGCGAATAAAAATCTGGGTTTATAAAATATTTATATTTGAGATTCCTCATCAGCGAATAATACAGTATACTTGGTTTATGAGAAAATTCTTTTCGATTTTTGTACATTCGTTTTTATATAAATTTTCATTATCCTTTTATATATATATGTATATATATTTCTAGGGGTAATTCTTATTCTGTAAGAATTCTTATACATATTTCGTTTCAAGAATTTGCATAACATCGAGAAATGTATATCTTCTTCGAATTGTACTTCTTCACATGGAATATATTGAAATATTAAAAAACTTGAGCTCAAGATCAAGGAGAATAGTGTATTTTTGAAAAAAAAAATTGCACTTCAATTCTTACTTCATATATATCTCCATTTTATATTTAGATTGAGTCAATATAAAGAAAGGCACATCGAAAAACCAATAAGAAAAATTTGAAAAAAAATTTTAACTGTTTTGAAAAATTAATTTTTTTAAGTGATTATTTAAAAATTGAATTATGTATATATCCACTGTAATTAATCATCTGACACATTGCGGATCCGCAATCTTGAAGTTTTGATATCCGACTTTAAATCACTTTTTCCAATTAATTTTTTAATAGGGATGATAATGAACTAAGATTAATTGGGTGGATAATTTTGTGGGCTTTAAAAGGGTATTAACGGTTTTGTAAAAAAAAAAAAAAAAAAAATTAGGGTACTATTTTTTAATAGAAAAATAATTATAATTTATAAAAAATATATCTCTAACCTTAGTCTGCAA